ATACAGTAAAGGATCAAAAAGTAGAATTAATGTTAAAAGCTATTTCTTTCAACCAACCTTAGGAAAGTGATAAAATAAGAAGACGATTACGTAAAACAAGACAGTCAAATAAAAATAGCTTTTCAGAGCACAGGAAATGTAAAGCAGGCTTTGGCTATCTTTTGTTACAGATAGCTGGTATTCGTATCAGTCATATCCCTGTACTGCAGTCTCCTTTGTGATTGTCAGTAAAGATAGCGTAACATTTAGATATTAAAGAGTAGTGCATGCTATCTTGTACTGTACGATGTATTACAAATGGGTTGGGTAACCGAAGAAGGATCATCATCTATTTGTACTGGGTAAAGTTGACCGCAGCCGCCTGAGTGGGAGAAGAGACATCGCTCTTTTTAAATAGGGGTGGAAGGTATTAATTGGATGGATACATCACCCAGATGTGCTCACTACTACGCCGAAGCTGCACGCATCTGATAAATATGCGCGTTCTCGTCGCTGTCCCCGTTACTCCTCGTGCCCTCTGCTAGGACGAGGTTCGACTTCAGAAAGCACCATTGTCACGTGCTATACGCTTAATTTTTATGTGCAGTCAGAGGTAATACTAATAATTGCAGCGTACAAATGCGTTGAAAATCGTAATTTGTTAAATTAGTAACTCATTTTTATATTCATGTTGACAGTTATAAAATTATTATTCTTTATGGGTTCGTAGTTTTCTTAACTGTAGGTTAGTTAATATATCGCATTGGTTAATGAAACTGTAAAGATGTTATAATTATGTAATAAAAATAAATAAATAATTGAATATGACTGCGACGTAGTAAAGTGGCTAAGCGATTGGTCATGACGTTGTAGGGCCGCGGGTTCGTAACCCGCACGGAGCAAGTGATTGGCCTACCAATAACTGTTCTGCGTCTGGATGTGTGTCTTTGTGCAATTTATGTATATAAATCGCCTCCACGATATATATGTGTGTAACGTATTTTTTTTTGAAGATAATAATATTACGAAATATGCGATTGAAAGACAGTAATAATATTTTAGAATTAATTAGTTTTGACAATTTATAGCGGAGTATGACGGTTATGAGGAAATTAGAAATAAATTTACTTCAGAACTTTCGTTCACCGTTGACGTCCCATAGTGGGTCAATACCGCCTAATTCATATTTCCGCTGCGCCCTTCCGTCGTTGTGTGATCTAATTTATCTCGTAAGCTCAATCCATTAGCGGACCCTCCCGCGATAACAGAAAGTTGAAAGCAGCGCGCAGGACGGTCGCGTACGCGCACGCCCACCACAGCGCGATACATTAACCGAGTTCTACGTACTCGTAAATACGATATCCCTTTACTAATTTCAGCGACGTGACAAACGTTATTTACCAAGGTACCGTTCGGATTGCGAGCAGTTTTAATTAAAGTGAAACAATATAATGTAAAATATTTTCGGAATTTATATGTACTCTTAGTGACCAGTTTTTGTGTGTGTACGTGTTTTGATTTTTTTCGACATTGTATTTTATTTACTCGTGTGATTTTAGTGTCAAAAGTGAGGCATTGGTTACACAGTTCTGTATTTGTTTTCTACTTTATTTTCCGGAACTTTGTTACAAAATACACAATGAAAACTGTGGCATAGTTTTTGTTTGCAAGTTTTTGTTTTAGCCGATATATACCGAATACCGTGCTAGAGCCATGCTGCAGCTATATTAGTAGTATAGTTGTAACACGAATGCGTCGATTTGACCGGGGAAGGATCACGCTCTCACAGAATATCAGCGTAAAGTAGCAACTTAACACTGCTGTGTTTTCGTATGGTGAGTGTAGAGAACCGGAGACCCAGAGTTACTTGAAAGAGGCATTCCATCTTAGTCCTCACGCGTGAGAACGCATTTGCACTTTGATTATTTATTGAGGATAGATGTATGGGTCACAGAATCCACTTACCATCAGGTGGACTGTGTGCTCGTTTGTCACCCCATTCTATAAAAAAGCCTACCTGTAAGTATGAACATTGAACATAGCCATAAAATTTACTGACTTCTGTCCTTGTTACTGTTTGCAAAAGAACTGCCTATATTCGTCCTATTGTTGGTCACACGTTGCCACTAATTTTTGGGAGGATTATGGAGCAATCAATTCATTACAGCCCTTCGCAAGTCCACTGATGAACGTAGACCTATGTTCAGCAGATTTCACATAACTTGCAAAAATATTCTATTCCTTAGGCTTAAAAGTTTCCTTACGTTATTTTGCAGCACGTGGCAAATTAACACTTAAATTTTGAATAAGCAATTTATTGATGCCGACGGGGATCGAATCTGAGATCTAAAGCGCGATGTCTAACTTAGTGAGACTAATTCATTATAACGTAATCAATTAACTATTTATAAATAAATAAGTTCATCAATGGATCGTTAGCAGCGGCCCGAGCTGATACCAATTGTTTATTACGCGCTGAAAGGCGATAAGTTTATTTACCGTCGTGTTTTGTTTGGTCATACAATCGAATTAAATCAATTTGCACTCATGTCCTTTAAACAACCACCTAACTAATTATGAGATACTCTTTTACACTGGCAAATTATATTATACAATAGCTGGTACCCGGCGCGTTGCTGCCGCAGAAGAAATTATTGTGGAAATATCGTTTTAAATTTGAAACTGTTATATTATTTATTGAATGCTAATTAATACATTATACGCGCGCCACCTACTGTAAGTTAAGTGTACTACGCCTATAAGCTCCGCGCAAGTGCAAGCAGTAAGTTGACAAAGTTTTAGCGCAATCGGTATGGCAGAGAATAAAATACGAACAAACAAAACTCATTTCTTATATATTAGATAATATGAGAGATTACTATAATTTTCATCTGCTCGTATACAATCCCTCTGGGAAATAAAAGACGTTTGCGCAGCGGTGGGACGTACACAGATTTTTATTATACTTTAAGTACAGGCATTTAGAATATACATAAGTACATACATTGAGTCATATAAATCAATGAGTACATACATGAGCAAGCTTTGCTTATGTATAATCTAAGTGCTGGTTTCTCACTATGGCAGCCATTATAGTAGAGCAGATATTAAATTAGTGGCTATTACTTTTCTGATTTTTTTTTTAAATAGAATAAGGGTGACAAACGAGCACTCAGTTCGTTTGATGGTAAGGGGATGCTGTGGTTCATAGTCATCAACATCTATCTTCTATTCAGCTATAAAATGCAGATGTGTTGTCACCCTTTAGGACTAATATGAATGTCTCGTCCTTTCTAGTAAAAAATGAATCTCTCACCATACGTAACGCAGTACAAAGTTGCTATTTTACGCTTGTATTCTGTGAGAGGGTCTTCCTTTTCCGGTCGAGCCGACCCATTCGGGCTACAGCCATAATATACAAAGAGATTTAAATATATAGGTATATTATATTTAAATGTCTTTGATAATATAGCTGCAGCATGGCTTTACCCATAAATATAGGTACCTATTTGATTAATTATACGAGTATACTTAAATTACATTACATTGAATCATAAATGACTTTATGGTAAGTATAGTCTTATTAATCGACTATATAATCCAAGAGTGTGTAATTTAATATCTGTTCGAAGGCCATTTAACCGGCGGTTTAAGGCCCGCTGAATGATAACAAGCGTAATTGATAGGGACAATGAATCGCCATTAACAGTCGCCACGGAATGAGTATATGTGTATTTTTGTACAAACATGAGGAAGTTACAAAAACGTAATATGAAACAAATAAATGAAGACTTAACCGTGACTACGTAATTCGGGCGTTTATAATTTTTGATAATTATGTTTATGAGAATCTTAAACTATTCCTAGACAAAACTGGACTCCACTAGACTTCACTGAAGTTTGTTTACTTCAATTTTAAGTGCTGATTAATCGCGTCTTGAAATCTTCATGCATTTCTAGAAATTAAAATATATGCGTGCGTGAGAGGAATAACCTACTGTAACTTATGTACTGTTTTCAACCATGTACATATAAGAAAGTTTGCGGCCTGATGTTGATAAATTTCTCCTGCAGTAATAGGTACTATAATCAAAACTTATCAAGTCGAAAAATTTCCACACAAACCACACTGTGCGTTGAATGAACTGCACAGTTAAATTTATACTAACGTCACACGGCAAAAGTGTACACTTTTCCCTACTAAGTATATTTCCATAGTGTAAGTTTTAAAATACGAGTACATCAAGCTTAATTGTAATTGTCGTCGTTATTATAATAATATATATTTATGTATAGCCGTAATTCGCAACAAAGGACTTAATGTAGTAGCTGCTAATTATATTTAAGTGCTAATTTATAAATGTGTTTAGTTAAATTTGTTATGATATTCCCAAATTAATAATAACAACGATATTTTTCAATGAAACGTTTGTTGGTAAATGATGCAAATCATATTTTATTAACAACAATATATTCGCTTTCGTTATGAGATAGACGAAATCCTAGGTGTTGTAATCAAACTATCATACTTGTTTGTAATATTACCAGATTATTTGCCTTAATTTTATCTTTTAGTATTAACTCCAAAATATTTGAAGCTAAGTACCTACATATGTTATTCGTATATGATCTTATTAGGCGACCAGCTGTTCCCCGCGACTTCGCCCGTGTGTAATTTAGGGCTTTAACTATGTTGCGCGGAATCCTGATTATTTTTCTAGCATATAAGTAGCCTAAGTTACTCCTTATACCATCAGCTATATACCAGTGTAAGTCCCATAGAAATCGGTCCAACCGTTTCGGAGATTAGCCGGAACAAACAGACAGACAGACAGACAAAAATGTTAAAAGTTGTGTTTTTGTTATAAGTACCGTACATACTTTCACATTATGCATTTAGTTAAAAGCTGTTATTTTGACATTACAAACAGACACTTTAATTTTATTTATTTGTATAGATGCAAGGATGCTTTCTGTTTTTCGGAATTTATTTTAAACTGGATACGTATGTTCAATTACAGGTCGAAGCTGGAGACGTATTGCTCAAGGTTAATGGGACTGACGTAAACCGGTTCACAACCAGAGAAGGTAAGAAACTCGCAAATTGATAAATTCGTGCACCATAACTTTAGAAGTCTCCAGCTAAGATTAAAAGCTTTCCTTATTATGTGTTCCTGAAAGTTTGATAAATATTGTTATATATAAGTTACTTGACAAAAGTGTGCGAGTTATATGTCATGGAATAGAAAATAATCACCTATTATTTTTAACAGATCTATTCTGTCCTTGTGTTTTGTTTTACGAACTATTTTTTTAATCATAAATATATTTAGTTTTTCTCCGATTTGTCGGAAACCTCTGATATAATTTAAATGGTTCTTTTGAAGTGAAACTTACCGACGTACTGGAGAAATTTAGTACGGTATTAAAAAAAATCACCTTTTCTTTTAAAGTTTGCAGCCCGGCTGTAGGGCTGTGGGGCTGCATAAGTATACTATATAACCTACTTACTTACTTTTATGTAAAATATGAAATAAAAGAAGAATGATATGTCGTAAAGAAATTTCACTTCGTTAGTACTTGTGTACACAATTAAACGCACAACTTTTTTTTAAATTAAATAGCTTATACTTCAGGAAAGGTCCCATACAAACTTAAAGAAAAAATCCATTCGTAACGGTGGAAAAAATAGGGGTGAAGATTAATGTACTTATTGGAACGGCATTCTATTTACCTTACCTTGAACTTGTGATATTCCTCAGACCACTCAACACCAAGTGGTAAAATAAACTATTAACTGGCTTCTGAAGTCAGGGCTTTACTCGAAATTTTTCGATTTACTATGTCTTACTTCAGAAGCTAGTATGTGGAATGTATGTGTTTATTTTTAGTTTTTGAAGTCGGTTTTTCTTTTTATAAGTTTATTTATCTTTATATATAAAAATTACGTGTCACGTTGTTTGTCCGCGATGAACTTCTAAACTACTGAACTGATTTCAATGAAATTTTGCACACACTGTGCAGTTTCGTCCAACTTGAGAGATAGGATAGTTTTTATCCTGATAAGTGGCACTCAATATTTTTTTATTGCGAATTTAAGGATTTTTTCATAGGAAGGGTCGTCGAAAAGGGCAGAACAACGTCTGCCTGGCCAGATAGTTGTTTTATAAAGTGCAGCAGACAAACTTGCAGAACCATAATAGTTTAGCTGTCAATTTTTGTTTAGATTTTAATTTTCAACCACGTACACCTACCTAACTTTAATACACTATATTTAGGCTTTTGGAATCGTTTTCAATATTTCTTTTATAATAAATACAAGTACAAATCGATAAAAATTTAAATCGTTAGCTTGTGATGAAGTCGTAATGAAAATCGTCAAAACATATCTAGGAATAAAATAGTAGTTACTGGTGTTACAATTAGGTTTGCCGATGTGTCCCGAACATCCGGATTTTCCTGAAGTGTAAACTGAAATGGGTAAAATGTCTCGGATATTTAAAAATCGCATCAAAAATAGAAAACTATTTAAATAATTTTTCGTGGTTCGCGCCGTCACGTGTTGACTGGCGTGCTGGCGTAGGCGAAGGATTGGTTTTCTCAATTTCAGAAAACTTTGGGTTTGATACCGATATTGATTTGCGTGATACTTCCTTGGTCGAGCTGACCCAGTCCTGCTGAAACCATAATACAATTGACTCTCGACAATTTGACACTCGTTAATTTGAATCTCTCGATAATTTGAAATTTAAAAATCCCAATCCCCTGAAAAATACTCGATAAATTGAATAAAATCAATATTAATTGGTCCCCTCGGTATTTTGAATTTGAAGGAATAGTAGCTTGTCATAACATGCAATAATTTGAAGTTTAAGCTTTCCTACTCTCGATGATTTGAAGCGTTTATCATGTACAGACCTGTCGATTGTTTACATAAATGAGAGAGAGTTCTTTTCAAAATGAACATTTGTGAATAATTGTACTAATGTTTAAAATAATAAATCACGAATTTTGATCAAACTTTTGTTTACATGATTTTTCCTCCCTCCCTCTCGCTCATCTGAACACCTGTTATTTTGAATTCTTGGTAATTTGCAATTTTTCTATGGTCCCTTGAGTTTCAAATTATAGAGAGGCGACTGTACAAAAAAAGTCGGAATTTTACTGTTAGTTTTATTGACTAAAGATATTTTTTCGTGGTAGAACGTAGTATTGTGGTTTCAGATGGACTTGGTCAGCTCGACTACCGTGTCAATCACGCTCTCAAAGAATACCAGCCTAAAATAAATAGCAGCTTCTGTGTTTCGTATGTTAAGTGTAAAGAACCGGAGATCCTTCTTACTGGTAACGAACGAGGCATTTTATCTTGACCCTCAGTGGTGAAACGCACCTACACTTTAGTTCTAAATCCACGATAGATGTATTTGTCTATGAGCCATAACATCCACTTAACATCAATTGGACTGTGTAGGTACTTGTTTGTCAACTATATTTTATAAAATAAAATAAATATAAGAAACAGTATTTTTAAGCAGATTGCCTAAACCTTGAACGGGTTGCGTTAATAATATAATATAATAATAATAATATTCCACAACTATCAAACAGCGCCATCTAGTCCCAAGCTAAGCAGAGCTTGTGTTATGGGTACTAGACAACTGATAAACATACTTATATATTTCTAAATACATAAATATTATAGATAAATTACACCCAGACACAGAACAAATGATCGTGCTCATCACACAAACATTTGTCTTGGGTGGGAATCGAACCCACGACCTCCGGCGTAGCAGTCAGGGTTACTAACCACTAGACCAACAGGCCAGTCCAATAATATCCATCTTCTTTATTGGTCCCTATAAGTCCACTGTTTGACATGAGCCTCTCCTGTTATAAGGAGTATTTGCCTTAATCATCACGTTTGGTAGATGGATTGACCTGCCTGCCAGACGTCTTCACGCTGCTGCCTGTCGCCCGTCTTGATATTCTATGTCTGACGCTTCGGGATGTGATGGAATTTTACAGTACAGAATGGAGTGATGAATTTTCTTACGCCGCAATGGCAAATGCAACCCAGTATAGTAAGCAATGCTTTCAGTGAAATAAATTTTAGTGTGATGTTGATTTTATGGACAAAAGAAAGGAATCGACTGTTCATGGATCTTGTGAATGCAGAAGTGCAGACAAGAATAAACTTGTTTCACTTGTTGTCGAAAATAAACTTTGGTCTGGTAGTTTTTTGTTTTGTCCAACAATTTACGCCTTCAAAGCTGGCAACCCTAGTAACAATCTGCATTAGTGCGAAAGTTATAAGTCAATTCGGGCCCGTAGACGTACCGTTGTGAGTTTTTCTGTCCAAACTCGCAAGCGCGACCTTTACGTGTGATTCAATGATTGTGTGATTCAATGATCGCGTTATTGTGACTCGTGCTAGACACGCGAACGATCAATTTGATTTCACGCGTACTCTGCGTGTGAAATACAAATTACGCGTTATACTTTAAACCGAGTGATTGCTCCTTATGGTTACCATAAATGCCTTCAGTCCTGCAATGTGTCACGCGGCCGATAGAATTGCAAAACTGCAATAAAGTTTCCAGAAAGCTCTTCAAAAGAATTTCTTGAAGGATGTTGTATAATTGAAAATAATGTTAAGGCGAAGAAAGTTGTTTAACAATACATTTTACTCTTTGTTTTATTCGAATTTAAAATAATTTTAAAGTAGCTTATTAATATCGTAGTGTTAAGTTTGCTTTTGTAAAAGTGATGGAGCGTGCTACGTCAATCTTTTATATTATATTATAAACATTATAATATTTTGTAGAAAATTGTTAATAAAACGATTCACAAATAAAATATTTTTAATACACTACTTACATTTTTAATAATTTAAGATATGGGTGATATATGGGGATATAATTTTTTAACTTAATAAGTATATCATCACCAATTGAACAAATAATAGTGTTGTGTTTCAAGTTTCCTTTATTTATGCTGCTACAGCTGTAAGCTCGGATATCTGAAGCAGATTTATTTGAATTATTTATATTTTTCGAATTACTTTGAAAGTACCTCACGTCTTTCACTTTTATATTTAGTATTAGAAATTCATATATACATTAATGAAATATATCATCCTATTCAGTCCGTAAAGCTAGTGGCTGGACATGAATGTCTCCCGTTGAAGAGAATATTTTGTCATAAATCACAATTGGCAGGTGGATTGGATTAGCAATCACCGTACCAGTCGTCTCGCATTTGACTCTGCTCTCAGATGCCGGTCTGGGTAATTATACGTCAAGCGTAAACGAAATGGTTATACCGCTATTTATCCCAACCCATGAGATCTTTTGATGAGCCACGCTGCACCTATGTTATGCTTGTAGCACGAATGGGTTGGCTCGATCGGGGTAGAACCACGCTCTCACAGAATACCAGCGTAAAATAACAGCTCAATACTGCTGTGTTTCATATGGTGAGTGTGGAGAACCGAAGACCCTTTTTACTGGAAACGAGGCATTCCATCTTAGTCTTCAGGGGTGACAACGCATCTGCATTTTGATTCTTAATTGAGGATAAATGTAAAATCATTCTCATCATAAAAATCCATGTGCCACAGTATCCACTTACCATCAGGTGGACTGTGTGCTCGTTTGTCACCCTATGCTAAAAAAACAAATCTCCGTCATTTCTCATAATAGTCTCTTATGGCACCACCAGGACAAATTGGTATGATAGATTCTCTTATGCCGGTATTAACATATTATACTTTCGACAATCGCGATGCGTCAAAAGCACTATTGTTAAGAAAATTATGTTGATCAATTTAGTACAACGTGGTGTCCAGAGTAACTAGTAACCTAGTAAATAAATTGAAAATTTTAAAACCCCCGAAAGGAACCCTACCGCAGCTAACAAAACAGCTGATGACCTTGAAACGGCTGGACCGATTTTGATAAAACATGTCTAAGAACAACTACTAGAAAATCTGCTTTTAAATTTTTAAAAAAACACACCGAAATGGGTTCACCCGTTTAAGAGGTACGGTGCCACAGACAGACACAGCGATAGACAGACAGACACACATAGCGGTCAAACTTATAACACCCCTCTTTTTGTGGTTAAAAAACAAACCGTGTCAAATAATTGAATCGTTCTTACAGTATCGTTTATTTCGATACAAAAAGCTTTTCATGTTGTATGTATTTGAGCTTAGGCTACAATATCTATATTGTGCTGTTTTGTTTCAGTTTTAAAATGCTTACGACTTTCGTCCGATCCCGTCACTTTAAGGCTAAAAAAGGGTGAGTCTCGCTCAGTACTCGATTTAATGTATATTTTATCAGGCAATTTGACCAATGAACTATGACATTCGAAAGCGAGCGGCGAGGCAGCTGCGAGTAATAAAATTCGTGTATTCCCGAGTGGTTTTGTTGAGTTTGCGGAGCATCTCAAAAGAGAGTTACTTTAGATACAGTTAATAATTTTATTGCTCTCCTTCGATATCTTACAAATGAAAACCGTAGTTTGATTTAATTACTTTTTTTTCTATTTATTTGTTTTAAAACTGTGACTTATACTTGTTTGTTTTCTAAAATATGGTTTCGAAATTAACCGATATTATGGTTACACAATTCAGCAATCACCGATTAGGTCCATAAAAAGACAGTGTTATACTTGGCCCTATGTGATCATGTGCGGGTGGTGCGTATATCAAGAATGTATTACGTATTACCTACTTCCTTAATTTTTTCTAAGTAGAAGTGCTGTACTGTATAATTTTAAGCTCTGAGGCACCTTTCTATTTTGTAGCCTTCTTGTTTTAATGTTGCCTATAGGACTTGTACTTATAGGCAACATTAAAACAAGATCTTCTGTGCCTATAGGTTTCTATGGACTCTAGTGATCATTTTGAAGATCATTGAAGGAGCATAGGTGATTACAATACCAGGTATTTCGCATCTTAAAGCTGCTACTCAGCTATCTTAGTATTTTACATCCAGTATAAATATTAAATCTATCGATACTATGAGATCTTGTCGCGAAGCGATGCTCGATGTTCTTTACGTTCCATATAAAGTAAGCCTTACAGTTACAGCCTTAATACTTTCCACTGCTGGGCATAAGTATTTTCTTAGGCTTTAATCACGGTGGAACCACGCCGCAGCTATATTATGGTTGTAGCACGAATGTGTTGGCTCGACCGGGGTAGGACCACGCTCTTACAGAATACCAGCTTAAAATAACACATGTCTTTCGTATGGTGAGTGTAGAGAACCAGACACCCTTTTTACTGGAAATGGGGCATTCCATCTGAGTCCTCGGGAATGACAACGCATTTTGACTCTTAATTGGGAATAAATGTAGATGTCTATGGGCAACAGCATCCACTTACCATCAGGTGGACTGTGTGCTCTTTTGTCACCCTTTTTCTATAAAAAGGTGCCTCAATGCGTTTTGGCAGACTTCACAACATGTTTTCGAAATATTTTCTTCTTAGACATGAATCCTCATAATGGTTTCCTTCAACAATTTCATTCGGGAACTCGGGTTGTTCGCGTAATATAAAATTTACAGCGAGCACTTAGCCCCTGAGCTACTAACGTTCCATTTAATTTTTAATAATTATTGTATTTTTTCTTTTTAATATTAGCCTCTCTGTCTGTGTTGCTTACCACTTATTATTATAGTGTTACACTTTACTTTTGAGAACAATTATTGATTGATACGATCGACACAAGCTGACGTTGCACTCGCCCTTCGCTTCTACATGTAAATGTTAAATGTAAATAATAGTCTATTTATTGGAGTTCAAATTCTTTACAAAATTCTTCTAATTACTAAAAGCTATTTAAGCGTTGTACGGAACAAAAAATTAAAAACTATAAACTGAAAGTAGCCTCAGCTAATGACGCATGATGACATCAGGACGCCAAATACCTCCTTTCCTCTGCTCTCAATGTAGACGCTGCATTCTAGTAAGCTCGATAAAATGCTATTCGCATTCGCATACATATAAAAAATATCATTCTTTTGTTTATTTCATGTATACTTATGTGTCGATATGTTGAATGTTTTGTAGATCCGGAGATCAAGGCGAATGTGAGACGGTACATATCAGCAGCGACTGAGCGGCGGGCCGCTGCGGCGCGCGCCAAGCACGAGAAGTATGTATCGTACGAATACGACTTACTACACTACACTACTGCAGTCCATTACATGTACACTGCTGAACATGGGCCTTAATTTTAGGTAAGGTAGTTGTCACGCTTGGCAGTTTTATTATCGTGTCATCGTACCAGGAAGATGCTGCTGCTGCTTATAATATGGGGAAGTGGATTTCGCTTATCAGCGTAATAGAATCAACTTCCCCATATCGTCCTGTCCAATTCAAGGCACGACGGTCGGCTCGATCATACGACTTGTTAAATTAACGGTACGATATTTTGGCAAGCGTGTATCTATTTAGCCGTCGGAAAGAGCATTATAAATAGGATAACTGTGAATACAGAACGAATGCACTTTGTTTTTCACAGTTCCACATCTGGTGCTTTAGAATCATTAAATAATGCTACCATTTCATTTTCACTCTTCGCCCTCATCTATTCCCCACTTTACTGGACTGGGACTTTAGAATTGTCGTAATCGCCACGCTTGGCTGGCAGACTGGCCTTTGCACTACGCGTGGTACTCTACCGTCGCCGATCTATATTTTTAAGTGTCTCAAGTTTTGCGATCAAACTGTCGTCAATTTTTAAGCCCTCCAGGAGACGAAATAGATCATTTAATTTCGTTGTGTTTTGTGTTGTTGTCACCTACTCGCACAATAAAGAGCCACGCCACAACACATCAATCATGTTTTAATCTATTTTAAGCTATAAAAATGTTAAAAATATAAATCTAAAAAAAAAGCGGGGTCGTTGTTTTTATGTTATTCTATTTACGTTTACGGATTTATTTTTAGCTTTGGTCGGTTTTGACCTATTGGGACGATATCCGACGGCGATAAGCGATAGTAGGAACCATATGCGACGTAGACAGGGGCTCCACCCTCCGCCTTCGACACGTCACAGCATTAGGGAGAACATATGACGCATCTAAACAATGGGGGGTAAAGTGCGAGGGGCTTACTGAAAGTATAGCCGCCACATGTTTGTGGAGTCATAGTTAATTTAACCGTCTGTACAATGCGGCTATTTTGTCAGACTAATTATAATTTGTTATTGACCTTTACATGGGCTTGGTCACGTTCTTCATACATTACATACTAAAAAAACTACTAAAATTAAATACATCATACAAAAAAAGAAAAAAAGAATATATTAACCAACTTTTAAAAGTACGGGGTTCTCAATTCAACTGTGTTTACGTAATACGTAATATCCAATATCAGATGACCGATATTAATGATTATTTTCCTTTTTGACTGACCCTTTCATAGTTGTTCCATATTATAAATTTGAAACAGATCTTTTGTTACCTAGAATCACTATTTATTATTATTATTTTTTTTTTTTTGAATTTACATATAAAAACTGAACGCGGTCATTAATGCATTAATATAAGTACACATTGGACTATTTTCTTATATAATACACCTACAGATTAAATGAAAAACGCAATATATCCAAAAATGAGCTTATTCTAATTCTTCGTTTAATAAAATACAAAACAATTAGCAGGAGGGATCCGGTCACCAACTAAAAGAAGACCAAAATAGGCTCACAGAAACAAAAGTAATGTGACGTTTATTACTGGGGGGCTTGAAATAGCACTCGTAATGGCTTACGCAATTAAAAATTCTTCCGTGGAAGACACTGAGAAAACAACAATGTCGTATTGTATCACAAAATGGCGCAATTAATTTCGTACAGAAAATTCCACTGACAGAGAAGTTATTTAAAAATGAAAGACCATTACTAATTAAATTAATTAGTGATAATTTCGTATACGTTTTTCGTAGGTAAAGCAAATGTAGCTGTTGGATGCTGTGGTCCAATACCAGTAAAAAGTTTTGATTTTCGTCACTTACCTTTTACCATTAGAACACTAGCACGTGCTATTTTACGTAGGTATTCTGTGTGAGCGTGGTTCTTTCCCGGCCGGGCAGACCCATTCGTGCTGCGTACCTAATACAACTACAGTGTGGTCATCTTTTCCACGTATATATCGCTAAAACATAACCCTTTCCATTGTTTTGCAGAACAGCTGAATTGTGCGTGGTGTTAAATCGCAACATTATCAACATACTAACAAAAAAAAAACCTGTACATTTTCCATATATTTGTCTTAATTAGACTAGTAAACCAACTTTGAGAATTATTTTTTTATTAAATTTTACCTATTTAAATTATTCTTGCACGCCGTTACGTAATTTTACCGGATTTTTGTGATATATCCTAATAGGTCAAGTTCGCCGCCTGCTAGCAATTCAAACAGCAACTCGAATAGCAATTCGTCGAGCAACTCTTCAAGTAACGGATCCGCGGTGCAGTCGGGGGACAGTTGTGAGGCTTTGCTCACGGAGGATAGGGGGCGGCGGGGGAGGATCAGCCAGCCGAAATTCGAGGCGTACATGATGACAGGCGACCTGATACTCAACCTATCGCGGGTGGAACACCCGCATCACAACCTTCACGCACCTACACATCGCACGTATTATCATAGGTGAGAAATTTTATCTTAACTTTATTTAAATAATAATAATAAAGTTTATTTCAGATATACATATCCATACACATTTTTTAGTAATTTACATAAACTAAGTTAGTAAAAATATAATAATAATAATAATATTGTTAACTTTGCAACACAAAGTTAACAATATAGCCTTACTAATCGACATAGCTGTACCAAATACGTATAATATTAAAAAAAAAGGATAAATAAATTATATCAATACGACGACAGCAATCAGTTAAGAAACTTGAATCTAAAACATTGATAAAATTACCATTAAAAGTTAGTCCAGGAACAAACTATATTTTATAAACTCTAAAAATGATATAAGTATTATTAACTTTATTTAATAATAAAGCAAACATATCCTATGTTTGCTTTCAAAAAATTTCTCCTTAATTTAAAAAAAAAATATTCATATATTTCAAAAAATTCTACTGTTAAAAATTATACCGTGTTTTGTACGTACGACCTATAGTTAAAACTTCCGTATGTTGAAAAGAAATTAAATCTTTGAATCAACCTTATGTAATTTTGTTTAAGTTAGATAATAAAAGTTATAAATACTCTATACTTTATCGAAATCTTATTCTCAACTTCCTACAATATTGATAATAAATTCGTATGTTTCTTCATTAGTAAACGTTGGTCTCATAATTAATACTAAAACAAATTAATTTCAGATATAATTCAACGCCGGCGTCGCCAAGTGAAAATCGTTTGGGTGCGCGAGTGGAACTCAGTCAAAGGCACAATTCTTCTCCGGAGACCGGCCTAGTCTCAGATCACGCAAACAAAATGTATGTTGCAGACTCATTTTTTTTTTTCATTGTCTGTTTGCGTTGATATCTTGTATAAAAAACGATGCCGATTAATACCGAGTGCTTTATTATCGTTATGTTACGGCTCGCAGTTGAAATTTATGTTCGTAGGAACAACTTCACGATGTAGAACAAATTCCTAGAGCAAATGTTACTTTTTAAAATAAAATCATGTGTAGCAGTAATCATTAAATAAAACAACTTTTCATTCATTCATTATCATAAATGTTGACCATAGGCCTCCTTCATATATTACCTCCTAGGTGACCAGATATTTGCCACGCTTGGCAGCTTTGTTGTTGCTTGTTTCGGGTTCGTACGCATATATCCAGGATTCGTCACCTGATACGATGTTGTATACAGCATTTGAGGATCCTGCGTGGAATCTTTCGAGAGTTATGACGCACCAAGTAACGCGAGCCGCTTTTTGCTCTTCACAGAGCGAATGCGGTATCCATCGGGAAAACAACTTTTTTACACCTAATTGTTCATGCAAGATTATTTGTATTTGACTCATGCCAATGTCTAAAGTTGCCTGAATTTCGCGGTATGTCACATGTCGATCTTCCTCAATCAGTTTACGCACAGCATCAACGTTTTCTTGTGTGACTGCAGTTTTTGGACGACCTTGACGGGGATCATCACTGAGCTTGACACGTCCACGTTGAAATTCAGCAAACCAGCGATAAATTGTGGTTTTGAATGGGGCTTCATCACCAAATGCAGAAATCATCCGGTCAACACACTGTTTTTGTGTTAAACCACTTTGAAAGTTATAATAAATCATCGCTCTTGAATTTTCTCGAGTGAATTCCATTTTCTCAACGACTAAACAAGTTTGATAAAACCTTGTGGTAAGACCGAGAATCTTTTTTTAAATATATAAATGGTATTCGATTTTTAAAACCAAGGACTTTTCAATTAAAAAGATTTTAATATGACAGGAACAGTGGAAATATTCTATTCCCGATACTTTTAGTGCAGCCCTCGTAAACCAACAAAAAAAATATCTTTCTACAATGGTATTCGATTTTTAAAACCAAGGACTTTTCAATTAAAAAGATTTTAATATGACAGGAACAGTGGAAATATTCTATTCCCGATACTTTTAGTGCAGCCCTCGTAAACCAACAAAAAAAATATCTTTCTACATGACCACATCACCGAAGTATTCCTTTCTGAATCCTGATTACAACATCATCTTACAAACCACAATTTTTTCTTATCAGAGTGATTCAGATTCGCCCCTAACATACTTTTAACTTATTCTACTCTACTGCTTCTTCTGCCACACCCAACTTTTACTATCGTACCTTAAGGAAGGGACTAACAGAACATTGTGCATTGCTATACGTGCCTTTTTTGACACATTATAACATCCCACAATAGAGTGAAAAGCCCCATTTACTCTGTGTTCTGTATTCACTTGTCGTTGTCGTCGGTCCATCTTAGTCCTCAAGGGTGACAACGCATCTGCAATTTTTTTTCTGAATCGAGGTTAGATGTAGATGTCTATGGGCCATAAAATCCACTTTATATCATTTATTCAGAAATCAAAAAAAAAAATTGTAAATCGAGCCTATAAGGTATATTAATGTAAATTGATATACTTTTCAAGAGATATCAAAACAGTCATTTTGTATAAAAATTGTACATATTGGAATATCAATTAGTAAATAGTGACATAAATAATTTCGTATAATCAAATGTCATGTATGTTTCAAGGAAATTGTATGTTTTATACCAAAAATTTAATTGAACCTAAATCGAAAATCCGAGCAAGTTTTTAATTAAAAGTACCTCATTCAAACTAAATGATACTGTAATTTATTTATAAATTTGTCAACAAATAAAAAAAGTTGGTGACTACTGCTTGCTAAAACACATGCACTATAAGAAAAATTGCAGATAAACTACAGATTTGATAAAATTCATTGAGCCAGATGATATGATTTGTAATGTATCTTTTTGTTAAAGTACTAAGGAAGATTTTGGTTAACAGGTTCATTTCTCAGCCCGCGTCTCCCGCCGGAGGGGGGCAGGCGGGCAGCGAGATGGCGTCGCGAGCGCAACATGTCGTGCGGACATCGCGCTCGGAGGACCATTTGCAGGTAAATTATCTTATATTTTTCTTTTACGTCATCAACTAGTAACATAATACACTGATAGACCTTATCCACTTTGGGGATGCTTTAATATAACTGCCACGCTCGGCAAATCTTAGACCCTTGACACAGCTTCTATATATTATATTACATTAACACAATTTTATCTTAATGAAGTAATGTTTTTTTTTAAATATTTTTACGAAAATACTTCTTTTATCATAGATAATTACACGTAAGTTTTCGATTTTAATGTGTTTAATGTCATATTCATGCAATTAATTTTTTTATTATTGAGAATTGTATACATGTAAAAATGTAGTATCTTGACCAATCCATAGTATTTTTCAGACTAATAAAGAAATAAATTAATGGAGTGCTACGTGCATTTGAAGTTACGCAAAAACAAAGGGAAAATCATGTTCAACTCATTGTAAAACCATGCACTAACATTCCTATATTCGTCTAAAATCATTTATATATCGAACCGCTAATTTACTACTTTTATGTTAGTGTTAGGCAGCACGGCAAGCACTCCTCTGTTTTAAAACCATGCAGGATTTTTTTATTGAAGAGGTGAGAAACGCGCATGTGGCTCACCTAGGTAAATGTCGACCTCCGCCGTCGTAAACAACTGCAACCCAGCGGAATTGCAGGTGATTTTCCGGCTTTTCAAAAAGAAGTAAGCACGATCGAGCGATGGTGCTTGCATCCTGGTGCGTCCACCCGTCAGCCCAGGCCCGGTAGCATTCCAGCTTATGTCTTGATGCGCTTTTACAGGAGCGACCAAACCATGGGTAGGATCTGCGTCCTGTAGTTTTGAAATGATTCCAGAAGGATTCGTCGCTGAGCGCGGTGGCCGTGGAGATGGAGGAGGACGTGACGTCGTCGCTGAACACGCTGCTGGACGCGCGCCCCGACTCCGCCACGCCCGGCGCGCCCGGCCCGCCCGGCACGCGCTCCGACTCCGACCTGGAGCGCGACAGGTACGTGTGCCGAACTGCTTCATGTCTGTAATATTCTTCTCGATCCCGTACCAACAGGTGCTGATTTTTGATATTATTTTACTATGTAATTTTACTTCAAAATTAATAGAACATTTAGTAACAACTTTGATTGCAAAAGTAACATTTGAGTTTATTAAATAATTTTGAAACTTTTTTTCCTAACTTCTTAATTTATTAAATTTTATATGCAAATTTTTAAAAATATCAAGTTAAAATATAACAAATAGTCATTAGTGAAAATTGAAAAAAATGGCCAATCCACCATGAATTTTGGACAGATTTTACCTAATCATTTGGTCATCAAAGCAATCAACTAGTTCATGTGAAATTGACTTTTGAAGAAGATATATTTCCCCTTACACATATATTTGATAAATTTTGACAACAGCTAAACCCTGCAGACTCAAGGCGGGAAAACAGACTAAATTACTTGAGATTTTCATTACCATGGGGACACATGTTTCGGCTTTACCAAATAATTTTTGACGTCCGTAAACACAACAACAAAATCACGTTGATACGTAACATTGAACTTATACACCATCGGCCATAATGGACAAATTCTAGCGAGGACGATCGTGTAGAGGACATAATCGCCTATAACTGCCCATAATCGGTAATGATAGAGCGTAATGGCCGCTGTGTCGCTGTGGCGGTGTTTCGGACAAACATCAAAAGAAGTTCGGCCATGATCGTGCGCGCGTCTACATAATCGCGGAACGTCGATGATCTGTAAACTTACCTTGTTCTATTTCGGTGTCTAGTTAACATCCACCTTCTTTGCATCCTTTTTTTTCATCACTCTGTTATGGTCTACACTTCAATAATAGTTATGTTATAAGTTAATTAACATAAATAGCGACAGCTGCTACTGTTTCAACGTCCATCTCGGACAGATGACACAATGCAAATATGTAGGATGCACGATTGTGTTGGCAGTCGCGCAATGATTGTGACAATCTTGCCCCATTCTGTGGTTGTCAATCATGGCCGATGGTGTGCGAGTTCAAAATACACTTTAAATTATTATTTAAAGGTTTGGCTTTCCCTAGACTGCTCACTTGGGCTTCTCTTTACCAACATCATTGTTGTTTGTCAGTGTGTCTGTATGTCTGATACAAACATTCTCCTCACAGAGGCTCGATAATAATAGGTAATTTTTTTAAAGTTTAAATATAAAATCTATTAATAGCTCAACCACAATGCTACCAGATCCAGATTTTAAGTTTTTTTTTTTGCCACTAAATTAAACCAAAGTCTTTTTGGTCCATAAATATTGAATTTGTTATTTTGTTGCTAACTTGACTGCAGTACCACCTATCGAATCTTATCATACGTATGAACCATCATTTAACAAAACATATTAGATATATTGTGTGAATATGACTTCAATCGATCAAGTCGGTCAGAAGTTGTAAGCTAATGCAATGCACCAAAAATTAAAGCATATATATAATTAATAGAATCAGGTGTTACTTTGCGGAAATCCATTATATAAAAGCTTTTAGAAAAATTTACTTCGCAAATATCCGCGTTATAAAATAAAATGATGTGTCTTACCTAGTATGAAAAGCAGCTCCCGCCCTCCCTCAATTGCGTGCACTATCCCCGTCACCACTAATCCCAGCACCACTACTCCCAACACCACTACACTAGGCAAGACACACCACTGACGACAATACGACACGTGTATCGCCTCTACACGAGGCATCCTCAGGTGATATAGACTACGGTGGCTAACCGCGGTTATTCTGTATCATCTGAGGTCACCGATATTACATCTCAGGCCAAAAAAGAAAGACAGACGGAGCGCTAAGTAGATTAAGAGTAACGGAAAAACCATGTTCAACTCTTTGACTCGCACTCACGCACCTAATTTTTCTCTTTCTTTCTTTAACAGCTCGTAAAGGTTCACTGCTAAATACATGTGCGCTTAAAACCATGTCGTTAGTAGCAAATGATTTTTAGATGCATATTTTATGTGAATGCGTACTTTTACAATTAGTTTAGCATGGTTTTGGTTTGATTTTTGTGTCAATTGAAATGTACGCATCGCTCCGTCTCTTTTTGTTGGTGTAAGTCTCAAGTCAACAATAAGGTTGGTTTGGCGCAGGATCGTGTGGACGTACAACGCGCCGGTGTCGTGTGCGTCGGAGCGCACGCACTGCAACGGCTCCGGCGCCACTTCCAACTCCACCTCAATCTCCGACGGCATTTCGCAGCGGTACCCCCATTTTTACAACCCCATTCATCTGTATTACATTCATACGTGTGACCGTGTAATAGTGGTGTAAGATTATAATCTACGCCAAACCGTCTTGTTAGTGTCGTTAGAAGCGACAGAGGGGAACAAACCAGGAGATTGGTAGCAGCGTCTTCCCAATAACAACTAAAAATAAAATAAAAACTACCTATGGCAAACATGCCCTTTTTTTGGTGGACTCCTACCGGTTAAAACCTCACAGTGGTCTCCATCAGCTTGTACGAGTGGTCCCGGGATCTCCGTTCGGAATGCAACCGGTGCCGCTCTCTCGCTTTACTTTATCGGAGCACGTCCCGGGGGCATTACTTACTGCCCCCAGCACCCTCGCTGTGCTATTATGATGTCTCGGGACCACTTCCGAGCCGTCGCACTCTTCGGGGGTTATGTTACTAGGCATTCGAGGCCCCAGACGCCTGCAAGTCAGAGGCCCTGTTTCTGCTCGTGGTGGCAAACATGCCCTAATCCAACCCAGCATAAGGGGAGACCTATGTTCAGCAGTAAACTTTTGATAGGCTGTTATGGTAACTTTCCTATTATGTTAACAGTTGTACGACTATAAATAGATAATAAAGCGCCTTTCCCACTCATTCCCCATTTAAAATTCTTTAAAAACATAAAATTTTATTTTATAATATCGGTGGTACTGTTAAATAAATAATTTATGTTAATAATGTTCTACTAGGATAAATTTTTTGTTAAATTTCCCGATTAAATGTTTCCGACGCGGCTATAGTATAGGCCATTTAAGCAACAAAATTAAAACAGCATCCAATAAAATTAAAATGATGTGGAGAATGATTAATAGTGAAACGTTGAATATTTTCAATTGAATATTAACAATAATTTAACTCAATCTGGTCAAGAAGTTGCTATGGCTTTTGCGAAACATTTGACTGATGTTCCTTTTTTGACAACAAAATCATTAAATTCTTCCCCTACTGTCGTCCAATCATTGCTTAAACAAAATGTAAAGGCTTGTTCAAATACTTTTAAATTCCATAGAATATTGCCAAAAGATATCGTTAAATATTTTAAAACTATTGATGTTAAGAAAACGGCAGACTTATGGGGGATTTCCGTTAAAGTTATTTTATCTATAATAGATATATTAGCACCTTAACGTTATATTTAATACATGCGTCGAATCTGATGTGTTTCCTGATTTAATGAAACATAGTAAAGTCATACCTTTATTTAAATCTGGTAGTACATTAAGCCCCGCCAATTTTAGACCAATTTCTGTACTACCAACATTTAGTAAAATCTTTGAAAAATTATTTTAGATCTGATATAATATTTTTTTAATATTAATAAATTACTTGGTAAAAACCGATTTGGTTTTACAAGGGGTCGCTCGACAACTGACGCTGGAGTTGAGCTTATTAAACATATTTTTTGTGCATGGGAGAATTCAGAGGATGCTTTGGGTATATTATATATTTTGTGACCGAAAAAAAAATTAATCGAATGTTAAAAATCTGAATATCACTGTGTTTCAAAATGGGGAAGAATTGAGCCCTGTTGAATCCACTGTTTTTCTTGGCATCGCTGTTGACGCAAAGCTTCAGTGGGGCTCCCATATATTCAAACTACCAAGCAGTCTAAGTTCTGCAGCTTATGATGTTAAAAAGATTAGAGATCTCACTAGTGTTGAGACAGCTAGATTAGTTTATTTCAGTTATTTCCATAGCATAATGGGACTTTGCTATGGGGAAATGCGGCTGATTTAGAAACTATTTTTGTCTTACAGAAGAGGGCCATTAGAGCTATTTACAACCTAAAACCGAAAGAGTCTCTTAGAGAAAAATTTAAAGAAATAAATATATTAACTTTGGCCTCTTAGTATATTTGCGAAAATTTAACGTATGTTCGCAAAAACAAAGGTAGTTTTAGTAAAAAAAAAGTGATATACACTCTGTAAACATTAGGAACGAACACAAGCTAGTGATACCAGTTTTTCCACTCCGGGGTCAGTATTTCATTCTTGGGGCAATGTATAGACTATTACAACAAAATCCCAGAATATATACAAGTTCTCTCTATTACCAAATTTAAATATTTTATTAAACAAAAACTGTTAAAGGGTTATTATAATTATGCGATATGTATGCTAATATTTAAATGAATACATGGTTCATAATAACCCCTGGGAATGAGGTGGTCGCTTCCAAGCTGTTTCTAAAATAAATTTTGTAAATAGTTTGTACCCACTGGGTTTCTTGCTGGTTCTTCCCAGGACAGAGCGTTTTTCGAATCAGTGGTAAAAAATGACTCAATAAGAATTACACATGTGACCTATATTGAAACAAAAAACTAGTTCACTGGCTGGATTTGAGCCTCTCCCATTAGAAAGTATTCCGTCATCATCACTCTTGGAAGGTAGATTGGTGTCACCCATCCTAGTGTGAAAACCGTCTGCATACCAGCAGACGGTTTTCTTACATTTACTAATGCCTACTCTTCTTTGCCCACCAAGTGTTTCGGCAATGGGAAAGGTGGTATATGAGGTTGTGAGTCGTGTATGTACAGGTCGTCGTCGCCGGCGTCGCCGACGTCGGTGTCGTCGTCGGTGATGTCGTCGCGCGCCACGCCCCCGCACCGCCCGCCCGCGCTGCTCTCCGCCTCGCAGCACTCGCAACACTCGCACCACTCGCATCGACCGCTCAACGGTGTGTACGATTTTTTTTATGAGTGAATAAAAAGTAACGAAATTAACAACCCACCTGATATAAATACTGGATACTTACTACACAACAAAATAGAAGAAACATTCCTAGTGTTAGTGTCACTATATTTATTTTAAATTATTAATATAGCTAAATAATAAAAATATTGTGAAACTAGTATAAAAATTATTACTATTAACAAATCACAAAAATCAAGCCGGAGTTTCACCAAGTGACAACAATCGCAAGTATAAATTAGATTTTACAGTAGATTACCACACGGTCACAGAATCTTGCTAGTACTGGGTTCCAATTCCTGCCAGAGCGAACATTTGCGGTGAAACACGTATCGTTTGCTTCCTTCGGAAATAAAGTAATAGTCAGTACAGTATGTCTTTGATATTGCATAAAACCTGAACAATGTAGCTAAACCAAACAAGTATTTTCTACAGACAAACTTGAATTTTTTTAATATAAACGGTTAGCTTTATTTATTTTAAATTTAAGTGTTTAAATTACATATTTGGTTTACAGGTGACATGAGCTTATCAGAAGCTGTATCAAACATATCTAGTCCAGACTTCCAAGACCAAGACGACATGTTCGACACTGGTCGGGAATGTCCTAGAATGGAACTCTCTGACCCCTCAGATTCGGATTCGACCATATTGGTTTCGGAGCCGTGTCACAAACGGGCAAAATCCAACTCCTCGTATTCCAATGATCAGGACAGTGATGTTACGCTCAATGGTGAACATAATAAAGACTATAGAATAGTGATACAAGTGAAAGGACCAGACAAACAAAGTGTGAACGCGAGTGATAGTGTAAATAATAACAATAACAATAGTAACTTTACACAAAACAGAAAGGAGAATGGGTGTAACTCGCCTGAAAATCAAGGCACAAAACAGAAAGGAGAATGGGTGTAACTCGCCTGAAAATCAAGGATATCAGGTAAGTCAGTCTAGGTGCTTGATGCCAATAAAGGACATTCCGAAAAGTCGCCTAAGAACCAACATATATGTGACAATTACCAAAATTCTTATCCTTAATTATGCATTAGATAACATTCATTAGATAGTAACGGATACTTCTGACTTGTGAAATCAAAATAAAAAGGACTTTTTCGATTTTGAACTTTGTACCTGATTTTTAATACTAATGTCCTGCGTTTATGGTCTCCTGTGATTTGGCCAATCACATAATACCTTCACTCACATATTTCAAAAGTTGTCATAAACTCAAATATCAAAGATGTTTTATAGGTCCAGATACCGTGTTGCTAACACACCGCAACGTTCATAGTGAAGACAGTCTTTGATTCATGTGTGCGTGAGTACCACGTGACGCGCATATCTTACGCACCATAGCTGCATTAATGTGCGTGACTTCGGTAATAACAGTGCGAATCGATTACCCAAAAAATGTGGGAGATTTTATATGTCATTCCTATTTACGTACCTATTGATTCTAAGATTATAAAATGTGTGTGCGTGGCGTGTGCGTTTGTGTGTGTGTGTATGGGGATATGGTTGCTTCTGTGTGTTTTATGTAGGTACGAACATCGCATTAAAATATTGAAGATATGTAATAAAACCTATAATTAATGTAACAGTTAAAATAAAAAAAGGACCGTAGATATTTATGTTGTAACATATATTTATAATCTATTATTACTAAATATATACAGAGTACTACACTTTTGTACTGTAGAACACAAAATATTGCCGTTTTTTACGAAGACATTAAATTATTTTTCAATCCTAAGTAAAATGACGAAAAAAGTAAGTTTGGTTAAGCGTAAACTTCAGCCAAGAGATAGCAAAATGTTTAATTTTTTTAAATTGCTCCGTTCCGTTGCTGCGTGAAGGAAGGACAAAAACAAATAAACAAAAAATCACACTTTCACATTTATAATATTATATTAGTATGAATTGTCAAGAATGATAGATAAACTTTTAAAACCGGTTTACAATCGGCTTTTTGAGAGTGGAACTATACCGGTTACTACTATAACGGTTCTGAGTGACCAAAAAGGATAGAAGCACAGAAAAGTGCAATTTGATGCTGCCAGATGTAGTTCGACCCTAACCCTTAAAACGATTTAACTCTATAGGTTGGGTAAAATCTGTAAAATTAGACTGTTTAAAACCCCTATACAGATAGCCTTTGTGGTTGATCATGACATTAAAAAATGGTAAAAACATTTCATAGACTAGGCAAAACTCGAATATTATTGCGCAGTATTATTACTTGTATTGACATTTAGCTTTCGTATTCTTTTACAAAGAAATACACCATAAAATTGTATAGTTACTTATGAAAAGTGATGTTCTTATCCTTATCTTTTTTCCAAGAGTAATTTTTAAATGATTTCACAGCACAAACAGTCATTTTGCGAAATTAAAAACACCGGTGCGTGACGTATGTTCACAGCGAACGTCGCTGGCGTAATGGCGGAACGATCGAACGAATACGCCAATATTGGCGCCTTTGAAATGGAACCGTTTTAGGCGCGCGTACACGGTATCTGGACCTATACAAAAATACAAAAATATTTATTCATAACACAAGTCTCATTTACAGTGTTAGATATGGATCTCACCCTTTTAAGTTTGAAAAACCTGTATTAGGATGAGTCCGCTCTTTCTTTAATCAGTAAGTCATGATAGATATGACTTGTATAATACAAGTTGTATTACATAAAGATAAATCAACAGACAAAAGTAACAATAATTATAATAGGTGTGTGTGTGTGTGTTTGTGTGTGTGTGTGTGTGTGTGTGTGTGTGTGTGTGTGTGTGTGTGTGTGTGTGTGTGTGTGTGTGAGTGTGTGTGTGTGAGTGAGTGAGTGAGTGTGTCTGTGTGTGTTTTTCAATTTATACATAAAACAAAATAATAATTGTAATATAATAAGATTCATACGAACAAACGTATGTTACGTGTTGTGTGAAAGTAATGATTCAGTACTGTCATAGTCAAGCTGTTTCAACCAAGAAGTAATCAATTTTTTACACTCAAAGTAATGTTTGCTGTAAAACTTGAGTTTCCCATTTAATTTATTATACAATAGGTGAGATTGCGAATTGAAATTTGTACGAGCAAATTTTGTTTTAACAGTGGGGTAGGAAACGACAGAATAGGGATTACGCTTACTTAAGATTTTTGTATCTAGGGTAATAGTTTTGTGAATTTTAAGAATACATTTTAATATGTAAAGTTGCCTAACAGTTAAAACATTGCAGTCCCGATATAGTTCAGAAGTTCCCGATGTAATTTTCCTGAATGTCATAACTTTAAGGAGTGAGCGTTGAGCCCTCTCAATTTTAATCATTTTGGTTTTGTGGGTACCACCCCATATTGGCAAGCAATATAGTATGATGGATTGTACCAGAGCAGTATAAATGTAAGTAATAAGTTGTTTGTTGGCGACATGTCTTATGTACTTGAACAACCACAATAGTTTTCTGACTCTGTGGGTGCAAGTGTCAATTTGTTTATGCCAATTTAGTTGCTGGTCGAGATATATCCCTAAGTATTTTGTGAAACTAACCTTTTGCAGCGTCTGGCAGTTACATTTAGGCGCTCTGTAAGGGTTTTTACAGGAATGGGCGATAAGATGAAGATTATTATTGGGTTGCGTGGAATTTTTGATTGCAAATGTTATATAGTTTGTTTTACTAATATTTAAGGTAAGGAGATTGCTATGTAACCATTTGATAACACTGTGTAGGCCCTTGGAGGCTGACTCGTGGACTTCATCCCAGTTTTTACCATAAAAAAGAAGCGCTGTATCGTCGGCGTAAGAGAAGATTTTACCGTTTGGTAATTTAGTTTCAGTAAGGTCATATTAGGAACAGGGTAGGTCCAAGAACACTACCCTGTGGAACGCCATATTGTGTGCAGAGCTCATTAGAACTATAAGAGTTATCGTCTATTTTGACTTGTTGAGTTCTCCTTAAAAGATAGTCGGATATGAGAAGAAGAAATTGACCACGAACACCAATTCTGTCAAGTTTCTTGATAAGATAACCTATAAAACGTCTTTGCTCAAATATATTATAAAAACGTTTATATTTTAAAATATATGTCAGATATGCCACAAGGAAATGGAGTACAGTGGAATCATCTGTTTTCATTTAAAATAACAATACTATTGTACTCTCATTGGCAAATCAGCATTGTGCCACACAAAAAAAAAAGTCAATAATGTTGACAGATTACAACACGTCAAAATAGATTGTTTTGGTTTAATTTGAAAAAATACATTTCTGCAAATGTTTACGGAATCTAAGTGCACTGTGCAGATGGTTTGTTATGTGATAAGTTTTATAAATTACGACTCGGCTTGAACAACGGATATCGATACTCTTCTTTAGCAACATACCTGGCTTGAATCACGGAATTTACCCAAATGAGACTGTATAAGTTGTATTTATTTGGTATGAATAAAATAAATACCTAATCACAACCTGAGTTCATTTAATTACTATTCTATAACATTATATTTGTAACATATCAATGATAAGATCTACTCTCGCAATTCAAACTACCAGTTAAGTTTTAACAACAAATTAACTAGATTAGATCAGGATGTTTTTTTTATATAGGATAAGAGCCTTAAGCCTTGTACGGGCTAAGCGTTCCAATGTACGCGAAGCTAGGTATGTTGTATTCAATATTCGCGTACAGGTATATAGTGGTACAGGTATGTAATGGTAGATAGTGGATACACGTACAGGGCACCTTTATATATTGCGGGGCTAAGCTCCAAATTGAGCGTTCACATTCGCTTTGACGCTCAACCAAAAGCCTACTGGTGACGACTCGCTACGAGCTAGCGTTCTTGTGTACGCGTAGTCGCTTACGCATATTGGAACGCTTAGTCCGTGCAAGGAATTACATTTTTCACAAGTTATTGCTGTGGCTGAAATTGGTTAGAAAGAAATTATCATGGATTATCATTTATTTGTTTCACTTGTTATAATTTGCTTAATATAATACCAAGATCATTTTATTCCTATGCCTGATTTGAACTATGGCAAAAACTTTTTTACGTGGTAGAGCCATGCTGCAGCTATATTAGTAGTTTAGTTGTAGCACGAATGGGTCGGCTCGACCGGGGAAGGACCACGCTCTCACAGAAAACCAGCGTAAAATAGCAGCTTAACGCTGCTGTGTTTTGTATGGTGAGTGTAGAAAACCGGAGACCCTTTTTACTAGCAAAGAGGCATTCCATCTTAGTCCTCACGGGTGACAACGCATCTGCATCTTGAGTCTTTATTGATGATAGATGTAGATGTCTATGGGTCACAGTAACCACTTACCATCAGGTGGACTGTGTGCTCGTTTGTCACTTTATCCTATAAAAAAACAACTTTAAAACAATAGATTTTTTTATTTACCAAATTTTATATTCTTATCTTTGGGCTATTAGAATCTGAAAGCTTTTGTAATCATTGTATTTTATGCTACTGTTTATTAGGAATTTGGAAACGGGTCAGATGGAGGTTCAGACGAGGGATCGGACGGAGACTCTCTACACTCCTTCCACTACAGTCCAAAAGCTGTGGATATACCTTCGGCTGAGCGGCTCGCCAAAAGGCTATATCATCTCGACGGATTCAAGAAATCTGATGTCTCTAGGCATTTAAGTAAAAAGTGAGTTATCACTTAACATAACCGTTTCATTCCTTGATATTTTATGAAAACTATTATTTAGATAACAAAATTACAAACTTAAGGGGTATTGTTAATCCTCTGCTCTTTAGATAGAAATTTAAAAGTTTCAATCTAAAGAAGAGAGGATGAAGATGATATTCCTCATAGCTTTCAATTATATTGGCCCTCGTCCCCTAAAAATTGGAACAAGAAAATCCTGCTCGGTTGTGTTTAATTGTTTAGTTAATTGGATAGTAGTTTGATAGTTAAATTGCTGGCGCTGGCATTTAACTAAATGTCTAGTTTTTTCATTAAGTTTATAATTATTTTTATAAAATGTCATGTTTGTTATACCGCCGTCTCTTGTATGATTCAAAATATAACAAAGAAAGGTTACAAAACTCTACATACATTTCAAGTGATGCCGAAATCATATTCAATTTTTTAACTTGCACATATGCACACTTGTGCGTGTTCTTACAATAAGTTGAGGATGGTTTCGATAAAAGGACGTTGTCTTTTGCAAATTATTTTTGGTGCATATGTGTGCGTTAGTGCGTGTTCTAATGGCTCCGTCACACTATGCTCCTCGCGCTGCCGAGATGTGGCTCTTTCTGCCTACACACTGCTCTACTTGCGCAAGTAATTGCGACGTTCCGCATTATGTTGCTTGCGTTTGCAACATAATGGATCTTGAAACTGTGGCAGCGTGTCTGCTATATACATATTTAGTATTGCTAATTATATCGATGTCATAAAATGAAATATACGTCGTTATCCTCGTCAACAGAGATGGTGAATAATATCATTCATCAATAGTCGACGACGATAATAACCGACGCTTCCGTAACGAGCGCTCTATTCGGACTGCGTTCGCGCGATTATGTAGCCGGCCACTCGCGCTCATATTATCAGTCCTTTGACTTGCACCCAAAAAACCTACCAAACAGGAAGCGATGGACGTGACGTGTGGCATGACGAGTATTGTTGCTACACTGTGTCTCTGTCTCTTTTCCTCGCTACTTGTCATGACACTCGAGGAGTGTGTGGCAGGGAGCAGGGAGCAGGGAGGTAGGTAATGTGTGCGGCGTGAGTCGAGAGACGTGTGTGTGGTCCGCAGCAACGAGTTCTCGCGCGCGGTGGCGGAGGAGTACGTGAAGCACTTCGAGTTCAGCGGCGCCACGCTGGACGAGGCGCTGCGCGACTTCCTGGCGCGCTTCGCGCTCAGCGGCGAGACGCAGGAGCGCGAGCGCGTGCTCGTGCACTTCTCGCGCCGCTTCCTCGAGTGCAACCCCGGTTCATTCAACTCGCAAGGTACTCTCCTACACCACGCACCTTTTTTATACAATATGGTGACAAACAGCACACGGTCCACCTGTTGTTACCAGGCCTCTGTCACTCTTACTACCTGTGTGAAATAATTACCTACAATTGCAAAGCGCCCCCGGGGCAGAACGCAATCGGGGCTAGCCCGTTCTAGGCGATTGAATGTTCAAGTTTTTTAACGCTGTTTACGTAAATAGTTTTTTTTTGGTAATGAAAATACTCATCGAAATAGTTTTTATTTAGTGTTTAGTATATTTAATTGTAGGATAAAATAGTTGAAAAACTTTTAATGTAATATAAGAATAATATATATGTATATGTTACGGCCTACGGTTGCTCCCTTAAAGGATCCAATCCTCTGGAGCCCATGAGCAGAAGACTTCCCGAGCAAACGTAGGTCGAGCCTCAATGTGGCCACGTGGAATCTCTCTAATTACACTAGAATATATGGGGGAGCGTTATACTACGGCCAGTCGACCGGAAGGAATTTGGACGAAGCTTACTTACCTATATCCAAGGCGACTGGTCCCTCCGGAGTCGGTCAGGTCGCATGTGGTTGTGTAGTGCAAGGGAAAGAATGGTGATGTGGTGTGTATCTGGGTGTGACTGATGGTGATTGAACCTAGACCTTGGCCGTCGGCAGCAGCCCGAGCGTCGACACCGCTCCAACTTGAGGGGGCCTTTCGAGGTTATCCACAGTCACTTTCTTCTTTCGTCACGTTGACAGTCAATTAACTCTATCGTACGATTTACTAACTTACAGAAGCCACTAACTATCGCTGGTTATAAGGTTAACACAAAACGCACACGGAGTTTACAGTTTATTAAAGGTCACTACCGTTTCGCGTTGCAACAGTTATTTCTAGAATATCAGAGGCCCTACTAGCTAATATTGTCGAATGCACTTATACAGATTCTGAGTCGGTCCCGGGAAGCTCTCCAGCAGGAATGCGCGTCACAAATCCTAGACCGTATATTTACGGGCCGCACCTAATTATTCCGAGTTCCCTAACAGAATACAGCGTGCCAATCGTTAGCACCGCTTATGGACGACTGCCCTTTCTCTCGCGACTCGCGCGCTCGTGCCACGCCCAGCCGAACTTCAAACCGGAATCGCGCCGAGCCGAGTGACATCTGGTGTCGACTCCGACAACAGCGTTTTGCGCGAACAAACCCCCGTCCCGGCCATAAGGATTTAGGTCCGCGAGCAAACCGGGCAGCGAGACAAGGTCGCGACGGTAAGTTGCAAGACCGAATCTACAACCAAACTAGGCCACCTTAGGCAACCCATCAGATCTTGCAACCCTAATCAACGCCTCAAAAGATAGCCCTAATGTGGTAAGCCGGAGGGTCAGCCTCCACTGGATGCCCCTCCTGGGCATTGCTGCACTTTAATAAGTCCTGTACTGGACAGAAGTCCGACGACCTCTTTCAAACACCTATCTGTGCCCCTATGATTAGTTCCGCAATCCGACCGGATCAGCTCTGCAAACAGCGACGCTACACGAAGCTGCCCAGACAAATTTGTGCCAGCAGTTGCTTCAGTGCAGAGCGCACCCACAAATTCCACATGAACGTCGTCTGTGGAGAGCCAAACGAAACGCACAGATAGTCCCTAGTATGAATTTTCAACAAGTAGGCCTAGCCAGGCCACCCACCATATTATCATTTACTAAAATAGTGCGGCAGCTGATAATCTCCAAAACTAGCTAGCCGGTTAGGCAAGTAGTCCTATGCTCATATTTCAACTAATTTTTCAAAAGCATCAATGTGCAACTACAGAATTAATTCAACCAAATTAATCACCGATGCGCATAGGTCAACTTGCAAATTAAACAAAACAATAACGTAAGGGACAGCCCTACTTCTTCGCAAAGTAAAACGATTAAACACTATCTATGTATATGTTACATAATTTTTCAAATAGCGCGCCATTCAATTTCTTTTCAGCAAACAGACGCAACAATCAAATACAGTGATTAAATATATGTACAAAACACATGCAGTAGCATTTAAAGGAGTAGATTAAATTCAATTCTTTTAATTTAAACCGCTACAAATAGGAAAATTTCGCGGAAAGCCCAAAGCAATTTTTAATTTTAATTCAAGTATTTTTTGACTAAGTGCTCGACCAAACCAAATCTAATACCCCTTGACAGCGTGATTCAACGCTCCAGAGGGGCCCTAGTCTTCCCACCACCAAGGGGAGGCCACATGGCGTGAACCCGAGATCGCTAACAGTCGCCACTCGGGTTGTACGCCTTCACTGAGGCCGTCGGCAACAGAATATTTTGACAAGTGGACTGTTGACGGCTTAAGGCTCAGTGGAGGTGGCCGTGGTGGGGGAGCTAAGGCGGCAGTTAGCCAGGGCCGCCTCCATCAAATGGGGAACAGTGGTACACCAGTCGCGGCCACTCAGCTAACGGGAGTGAGAAGGGTCCAGCGGACCGATGAGTGGCCGTGAAGTTCCTCTCCACACGCTGAGGGGGGGCGATGACACCCCCGCCCCTGGGGGAATTATTACCCCCCGACTGGTCGGAGGAGGGACCCCTTCCAAACTTAGGGGACCGGTGGCCGGCCGGCGGGCGCCGAGAGCCGCCTGGCAGAGGGCGTGGCTGAGCGCCCCCGCCCGTGGGGGTCGAGGGCCTGGCAGAGCCCCGAGAGGAGACGCCGTTCGCACCCAGGCACAAAACTGCATGATGATTGCCCTGGCAATGCAGACAGGCCCGTCGATAAGGACAGTCTCGCTGGAGGTGCCCTCCCAAACATGAACAGCACCAGCGGCGCTTCTTGGCGATAGTTCGCCTCGCCGGAACCGGCTTCCCTAATAATTTCGGGCACGACGTTACCCGATGATCAGACGCTCGACAATAGGAGCAGGGGGGGGTTGACGACGACTTGCCTGGAGGATTCAGCCTCTCACTGGGCACGGCTCGTAAGTCGTCAACGGTGCCCGCCGCGTTCTCTATCTGCCGGCACTGCTCCTCCAAAAACCGCAGCAGGTCATAGAAGGGCGGAATATAGGAGGCCTCGTCCCCGCCATACCTCTCCTCAAAATGGATTCGAAGGTCGAGAGGTAGACGGGACAGCACTATGCGGAGCAACAAAAAAGCCCATTCGCCCACTGGTAAATCCAGCTGCCTCAACGTATTACAGGCCACCAAGACTGGATCCAACAGGTCCGGACGCAGTCTGACCCGGTCACTAAGCAGCGGGGGGCTTAGAAGCTGCTTAACCTGTTCGTCCGCAATTCGCCGGACATTGGCGTATCTTCTGGCTAGGAGGTCCCGAGCAGTCTGGTAGGCGCCGTCCGACAATCTCAAGTGGCCGACGACGCCCAGGGCCTCCCCCTCCAGTGAGGCCAGGAGGTACGCCATCTTTTGGCTCAGGGTCAGGTCACTCCGGGCGTCCACTAGGCTGTCGAAAAGACCAACGAAGGTCAGCCATTCGGAAAGGACCCCGGAGAACTTTGGCAGGTCCAGAGTTGGGAGCCGTCCCAACAGCTCCGGCTGAAGCTGCTTCAGAGAGGACTCGGACAGGTCACTCATCCGAGCTTCACGCGCCTCCTCGGCATACCTGCCTTCAGCCTCGATCAACTCGTCCGTGAGCCACAAGAACTGCTCATAGTCCGCGAAGCAGGAGTCCAGGACTCCCTTCTCCACATCTGAATCCTCGAGCTCAGCGTAAGCCTCCTCCACTGCGGCCCTTCGAGCATCCACCTGCTCGAACCGCTTCATCAAGTTATGGACCCTATCCGGTCGACCTATCAAAGCATGGGCGCTTGTGGCCCAGCGTAGCTCAGTCCGCAAACAACGGATCAGTAGCTTGGGCGATGTCATCACTATTAAATGCAAATTACGACGCGGCTTGAGCACAGATTACAAAGATAACAAACAAAAAATACAACAAAAATTAACAGTTTATAAATGCAGTTCCTATCAAATCGCGTTGAATAGAAATTACACAAATACGAATTACTACGTATCAACCAAATACAAGTTAGCACAAAAGAAAAGGCACAAATCAAATTAACAAATAACAAATACTAGTGCGATCAAATCAAGTTAAATTCAAATTGCGCAAATACAATTACTACTCTTTAGTTCAAATACAAATTACAATACAAATAAGATACACATCACAGTCGATCAACAAAAAATGCCTAGCTCGGAAATCGACCCTTCGATAAGTAATCCACTACAACTATCCGACAACGATAATTAACCGATTACGTAAAAATAACCATCTACCTACATGACGTATATCTCTAGAAAAACTCCCGCTTGCACAACCTAGGGCGCGGCTTTTCAAATTACCCTCTAACCAAAAAAAAGGCAAGCAACAAAGCAACAAAGGAAAATAATTCTATTATTACGTACAAAAAAATATTTTTACGTATTACGGACGGGCGTGATTGTAGATACAAATTAAACCAATCACACCAACGCTCCCTGCCACCAAAATTGTTTAATGTTTATCTAGCACTATGGTCGGGATCGACCGGGGAATCGAACCCGGAACCGCGCTCTGCTACCAGTTTGCTACGGCCTACGGTTGCTCCCTTAAAGGATCCAATCCTCTGGGGCCCATGAGCAGAAGACTTCCCGAGCAAACGTAGGTCGGGCCTCAATGTGGCCACGTGGAATCTCTCTAATTACACTAGAATATATGGGGGAGCGTTATACTACGGCCAGTCGACCGGAAGGAATTTGGACGAAGCTTACTTACCTATATCCAAGGCGACTGGTCCCTCCGGAGTCGGTCAGGTCGCATGTGGTTGTGTAGTGCAAGGGAAAGAATGGTGATGTGGTGTGTATCTGGGTGTGACTGATGGTGATTGAACCTAGACCTTGGCCGTCGGCAGCAGCCCGAGCGTCGACACCGCTCCAACTTGAGGGGGCCTTTCGAGGTTATCCACAGTCACTTTCTTCTTTCGTCACGTTGACAGTCAATTAATTCTATCGTACGATTTACTAACTTACAGAAGCCACTAACTATCGCTGGTTATAAGGTTAACACACAAAACGCACACGGAGTTTACAGTTTATTAAAGGTCACTACCGTTTCGCGTTGCAACAGTTATTTCTAGAATATCAGAGGCCCTACTAGCTAATATTGTCGAATGCACTTATACAGATTCTGAGTCGGTCCCGGGAAGCTCTCCAGCAGGAATGCGCGTCACAAATCCTAGACCGTATATTTACGGGCCGCACCTAATTATTCCGAGTTCCCTAACAGAATACAGCGTGCCAATCGTTAGCACCGCTTATGGACGACTGCCCTTTCTCTCGCGACTCGCGCGCTCGTGCCACGCCCAGCCGAACTTCAAACCGGAATCGCGCCGAGCCGAGTGACATCTGGTGTCGACTCCGACAACAGCGTTTTGCGCGAACAGTATATTACCTATCTATTTGATAAATTATAATGGCAAAAAGTCGCGGGGATGGATACCATTTTTTGAGTTACCGAAGGATAATGAAAGGTAAATTTATTTCATTTTTTTTTTAGATAGGTACTTATAGCGAAAAAATAATTAAGTAATAATTTAACTACAGAAGTAATACCTAAGTACTTTATTACAAAACTTAGTTGAAATATACTTCACTACCCAAGTACCTATTTACATACTTATGCTCGTCTTTGTAGTTAAAATATTTTAAGTTATAATAGCACAAAATACTGAAATTAAAACTTTGTTTACAAGATTTTCGACTAAGTAGATTACGATCATATTTCTGTTCAACAAATAAACTCGTATTTCGAGTTTATTTGTTGTTTACGCTATCTATATATATATATATATATATATATATATATATATATATATATATATATATATATATATATATATTACTCTTAAATTACAGTAAAACTTTTTTAACTATTTTGTCCTACATTTCAATTATACTAAACACTAAACAAAAACTATTTTGATGAGTATTTCAACAAGTATTTACAAAAAACTCTTACGTAAACAGCGTTAAAAAAACTTTAATATTCAATCGCCTAGAACGCGCTAGCCTCAACTGCGTTCTGCCCCGGGGCACAGAATAAATAATAGTACTACGTACAGAAGTTGCACTCTTTTGATGTTAACTGCATGCCGACGTTTTAATAGCCTACATAGTTATTATTAATCAGATAAATCGCGCACGCAAGCTAAATAAAACTTTATCGCTGCGCGCGAGTGTCCGAATTACTTTGCATCTTTTCTCCTTACTACATCACAACGGACTTTCCGTGGTTGCTAAGAGCTGTTAATAAAGAGTAAAAAAATACATTGTGAAATGGTAAGTTACTTAGGTAAAGTACCTATCCTGACTATAATCGACCATATTATCTACTATATGAGTTCTGTGATGCCCAACGCACATGCAACTTGCAAGGCCATTTGTCGGGAATCGCGATACTTGGTTCGTATAGGTAGATAGCGTAAACAACAAATAAACTCGAAATACGAGTTTATTTGTTGAACAGAAATATGATCGTAATCTACTTAGTCGAAAATCTTGTAAACAAAGTTATTTTTTCTGTATTTTGTGCTATTATAACTTAAAATATTTTAACTACAAAGACGAGCATAAGTATGTAAATAGGTACTTGGGTAGTGAAGTATATTTCAACTAAGTTTTGTAATAAAGTACTTAGGTATTACTTCTGTAGTTAAATTATTACTTCATTATTTTTTCGCTATAAGTACCTATCTAAAAAAAAAATGAAATAAATTTACCTTTCATTATCCTTCGGTAACTCAAAAAATGGTATCCATCCCCGCGACTTTTTGCCATTATAATTTATCAAATAGATAGGTAATATACATATATATTATTCTTAAATTACATTGAAACATTTTCAACTATTTCATCCTACAATTAAATTATACTAAACACAAAACAAAAACTATTTCGAAGTGCATTTCAACCAGTATTTACAAAAAATTAATTACATAAACAGCGTTAAAAAAACTGAAATAGAAACTATGTTTAGAAGATTTTTAACTAAGTAAAATACGATCACATTTGTGTTAGGATTCGTATTTCGGGTTTATTTGTTGTTAAGTTGCATGCGTTGGGTATCACAGAACTCTGATATACACAAAATATGATCAGTCGATCATAGTCACAATAGGTACTTTACCTAAGTAACTTGCTTACTATTTCGCAATGTATTTTTTACTCTTTATTGACAGCCCTTAGTAACCACGAAAATTCTGCCGTGACATATGAAGGAGCAAAGATGCAATGTTTAGGCCAAAATTTACCCTTTTGAAAATTGAATTAATAACTCGCGGCTCGGCGCGTGCATAGCATGGTACGAAGGTCACGGCCGACCCCTCTCCGGCGGCATTCTATTGCAGTCGGTGGATCGAGTCGCGTCGAGAGATAGTGTGAACAACTGCCGCTCGACCGAACGCGTAGAATTTATTATTGAAGTTTTTCGCTTCTAATGTTGGGTTATCTTTATGATTGCCGGTTGAAGTGCTTTGACATTATTAATTTCTGTCGACGAGTTTCTTTGTGGCATTAGATATAACTCGGAGATATTTTCCCGTGTCGGTTAATCGCTTAACCTTGAGACTCGAGAAGAGATCGTGTTCTTGTTCGTGGTTATAATCTTGTTGCTACGTGAAACGGAAGTGAACTTTGATCCACCGTTTATTAGTCGTGCCGTGTGTTACGTTTTGATTACGATTAACGGGGATTTAGTTCAGTTTGAGGTTAATTAAATGTACAATAAAGTTGATAAACTGAAATAGTGAAGTGACGTCAGACTTGAGGTCGGACTAAGTGAACTACCACCTTTGGAGAGAAGCAACGCTGGATTTGCGGTCCGACTTCAACGGTTAAGTCAGGCCTGACCGAGCCTTGGGGCGGTCTTAGCTTCGCATCCAGGTACGTACTATTTATTTACCTAGCCTTATCTCTATTATGTAGGTCAATTGTCCATAGGCATTTCGAGCCCCACCCTTAGTTGCCCGTGGATGGAATTACTCATGGGCCCTAGTCCTGTCAACCTTTGTTGGGGCAGCTAGGGGCGTGTACATGCAAAGTAATACGGACACGCGCGCAGCGATAAAGGTTTATTTAGCTTGCGTGTGCGATTTATCTAATTAATAATAATTATGTAGGCTTTTAAAACGTCGGCAAGCAGTCAACATTAAACGTGTGCAACTTTTGTAAGTAGTGCTATTATTTATTCTGTGCTGATGGTAAGTGGATGATGTGCCCCATACACATCTACATCTATCCTCGATATAGTTGTCATTCCTGAGTACTAAAATAGAACGCCTCGTTTCCAGTAAACAGGGCCTCCGGTTCTCTACACACTCACCATACGAAATACAGCTGCATTGAGCCGCTATTTTACGCTGGTATTCTGTGAGAGCGTGGTTCTTCCCCGTTCAAGCCGACTCATTCGTACTACAACTAGACTACTAATAGTTGCAGCATGGCTCTAGCACGTATGAAACGTGTTTTGTTCATATATAATAATATAAAAGAATAGGTGTGAGGTTTTGGTGCGTGTGGTTGTGCAGACGCGGTGCACACGCTGACGTGCGCCATCATGCTGCTCAACACGGACCTGCACGGCGGCGGCGGCGGCACCTTCCGCCGCATGACGTGCGCCGAGTTCATCGACAACTTGGCCGACCTCAACGACGGCGAGAACTTCCCGCGTGACACGCTCAAGCATCTCTACCACGCCATACGCACGCAGCCGCTGCAGTGGGCGCTGTAAGTCAACGATTTACCTTTTTTTTTTTGAAAAGATGGAATTTCTTAATTCATCTGTATGTTGCGCAGCATCTTCGTCAATATTGAACTTATTATGATGATTCTTTTTTTAATAGGTTATACTTTAGCGGTGGTCCACATAAATATGGAGAAAAAATTCCACCCCGAACATTGGTATGCCACCGTTGGGAGTGGGATTTTTTCTCAATAGTAAAAACTTTAATTGAGCTATTTAGACGTCATTAAGATTGTGAAATTCCTTAATCTTTTTCATCATCATCAATCATTACTTTTTAGTGTACATATATATTACAGCCTTTCCACTGCTGAACATAGGTCTCCCCCAAGGAATGCCACAAAGCACGATCCTCAGCCACCTGCATCCATCCACTTCCTGCACTTCGCCTACCGGTACGAGGCTGCCACTCAAGGACCTTTCTTCCCCATCGGTCGTCGGTTCTTCGAGCTATATGGCCGGCCCACTGCCACTTCAGCTTACTAATCCGTTGGGCTATGTCGTTTATTCTGATTCTGCTGCGGATATACTCATTTCTAAGTTTATCACGCAGAGAAACCCCGAGCATAGCCCTCTCCATAGCTCGCTGCGCGACCTTGAGCTTCCTCATATGGCCAGCAGTGAAGGACCACGTCTCAAATTCGTAAGTCATCACTGGCAACACACACTGGTTGTACAATTTCGTTTTAAGGTTTGGAGGTATGTCTGACGAGAAGATGTGTCGTAGTTTCCCGAACGCTGCCCAGCCGAGTTGAATCCGTCGATTGACCTCTTCTTCGAACTTAGTGCTCCCAACAACTACCGGCATAGGTGTGACATGGACATTAAACATGATCTTTATTTTGTCCATGTTCATCCTAAGACCTATTTGTTGGGAGACACTATTGAGGTCATTGAGCATGGTGCTTAGATCCTCCGGCGATTCTGCCATAAGAACTATATCGTCGGCAAATCGAAGGTGAGTGATGTACTCGCCATTATCCATCAGTATCCTTTCCAGTCCAGAAGCTTGAAAACGTCTTCCAATGCAGCGATGAAAAGTTTCGGGGATATAACATCACCCTGTCTTACACCTCTCTGCAATTGGATGGGTTTCGTACTCTGGTTCTGTACTCGGAATGGCCATCGTAGCTCTACTGTACAAACACTTCAGCACTTCGATATACCGACAGTCAACTTGGCACCGCTGAAGGGACTGCAGCACCGCCCAAATTTCGACGGAATCAAAGGCTTTCTCATAGTCTACATACGCCAGACATAGTGGAAAATTGTACTCCTCGGACTTCTGTACAATTTGCCGAAGGCTATGTATGTGGTCTATTGTGCTAAAGCCCTTTCGGAAACCGGCTTGTTCGGAAGGCTGGAAGTCGTCAAGTCTGCGCGCGAGACGATTCGTAATGACTCTCGAAAACAGCACGTAGACGCGGCTCAGAAGGGAAATCGGTCTGTAGTTCATCAACAGAGCGTTGTCACCTTTCTTGAAGAACAAGACCACCGCACTTCTGCTCCACGCCTCCGGTGTAATGCCACCATGGAGGACGGAATTAAAGAGCTTCTGAAGGACTTCAAGTACCGGTCTTCCACCCGCTTTCTGAAGCTCCGCTGTAATTCCATCCTCGCCTGGGGCCTTGCCGTTTTTAAGGTGCTGGAGAGCCATTCTAATCTCGCTCAGACTGGCGTCCGGGATATCTTCGGAATAGTGTCGGATAAGACTCGCTCTTGGATCGTTACTCACACTTACGTGTGGCTCCAACGATGACGTGTACAGCTGCCCATAGAACCTCTCAATCTCACTCAAAATCTCAGGTGCCCCGGGAACGATGCTGCCACACTCGGTCTTCAGCTTTGAGAGTTGGCTCTTTCTGGCAGACAGATCTCTGGCAAAGACTTTGGAGCCTTGGTTCCGCTCGATCGCTTCTTCAATACAAGCTGTATTGAAGTTGCGTAAGTCCCGCCGCATGCATTTGGAGATCTGTCTGTTCAGTTGCCTGTATGCTGTCAAATCTGTTGAAGAATGTAGCTTCATCTCCCGTCTAACAGCCATGAGATTGAGAGTGTGATCGGAGAGTTTTTGTGTTTTTCTGCGGCGGGTCTTGCAGAACTTAGCTCCGACCGCATGGACAGTTTCCACGAGCTTGTCATTCATATCGTCCACTTCATTGCAGTCTTCTAGGCACTGAAAATGGTTTTGTAACTCGAGCTGAAAGGTTTACCGGGACTTTGGAACAGAGCACGAGGGGGACGGAGCGTTGACTTCATTAGACGAGACCTCTCCAACTTAAAGTTCAGGTTCAGTGTGCCTCTAACCATTCGGTGATCGCTACCAGTTTTCACCCTCGCGATCACGGAGACATCACTGAACACTTGTCGTCTGGTCGTCATAATGAAGTCAATCTCATTTTTTGTGGAACCGTCGGGGCTCGACCAGGTCCACTTCCTGTGGGGCCGCTTCTGGAAGAAAGAGTTCATCATAAAGGGTCCCTCTTTCTCCATGAAGTCGGCCAGCTGCTGGCCCCTTGGGTTCCGTTGCCCTATTCCAAATTTCCCTACTTTCAGCTCACCGTTCTCTCTTGTGCCTAGTTTGGCGTTGAAGTTTCCCATTATCACCGTATATTGGGTTTTGGAGGAATGCATGGCTCTAGAGATATCCTCATACATTTCCTCCACCTCCTCATCGGGGTGTGCCGAGGTTGGTGCGTAAACCTGTATGACCTTCAGCGAATATCGTTTGGTGATTCTGAGTATAAGGTACGCAACCCTCGTCGACACACTCTCAATCTTTACAACGTTCTTAACGAGAGACTTGTGGACGGTATTTCCGACATCTCCTTGGGACAGATGGTCGCCCTTCCGGTGATAGAGCAAGTTGCCGGATTCGAGGATTACCGTGTCCTCCCCCTCTCTTCGGACTTCGGATAATCCTATTATATGCCAGCGTAAATTGTCTATCTCTTCTTCAAGCTCCACGATCTTCTCGTCAGTCCTCAGGGTGCGTGCGTTGTATGTTGCTAGGTCGAGTAGTCTTAGGTGGCAACCGAATCTCCACCGGAGATTCTTAGCACCCCCTGCCCCGCCGTTACCATGGTCGTCACCGTAGCTAGGAATAGCGGGGCCGCCGGGGACTGGGGGCCGTTTCTTTGTTACTCTCATCATAGGGGGGTATTTGCCATAGTTGCCACGCTTGGCGAGCGGGTTGGCAACCGCAGTTTTGATATTGTAAGTTTGTTGTTAACAGGAAGATGCTGCTGCCCATCTCCTGCCTATTTCCCTTTGTCGCCTTTTACGACACCCACGGGAAGATATGGGATAGTGGATATTCTTAACCGCCACTACACGGCAAATATATATATATATATATTAGTTGCCACGCTTGGCGAGCGGGTTGGCAACCGCAGTTTTGTTATTGTAATTTTGTTGTTATCAGGAAGATGCTGCTGCCCATCTCCTGCCTATTTCCCTTTGTCGCCTTTTACGACACCCACGGGAAGATATGGAATAGTGGATATTCTTAACCGACACTACACGGCAAATATATATATATATATATATATATATATATATATATATATATATATACAGTCGTCACATTTCTTTATATCTCGAAAAAGCAACAAAATTGGCCAAACAAAGGATAATGTGGTGAGCGGTAATACTGTCGGTGTTTAGATCTAGCGATTGAATGATCTTTTTTCAACTTTCTCGCTCTCGCATGGAGGCGCATCCATGAAGCAAATACAAAGAGGAGATGTTGTAATTAAATTTCACTATGTAACAATGCGTGACAATTTGCGAGGTGAGGGGATGCAAAGCCCCGCCCACTTTACATCTACTGATAAATAGTAAAACTACTCGAATCTTTCCATATCGATGTTGCAATGTAGCTTAGCTACCTTGACGGTAGTTAGCGGCATCTCCACAAAATGTTATAAACTATAAAAATAATATTTTGACGATTAAAATTTCTTTATGTCTGAATGCAAAACAAATTTCACCACCTTCGTATGGTTATTATATCATTACCGAGCTCTACGTACCTTTATATTTTTAGTTTACAGGACACGTAGTGTCGCCATCTAGTGTGGAATATATTTAATTATATTTGAAAGCGAACGTAAAGAGAATTTTCTAGAACTATTTTAATAAATTAGGTGTAAAATTACTTACAAATGAAATGTGATGCCATCCATAGCATCGGAGCGTCTATCTCATGAAGCAAATACATTCAGACAAAGAAATTTTAATCGCCAAAATAATATTTTTATCGTTTTCATAATAATTTTGGGAACAGGCCGCCATCTATCGTCAAGTAAACCTCATAAAAAAATAACAAAAAGACAGGGCCGTAATTAGAATTCAATTATTTTACCCAGTAACCCAACATTCAATATTAAAATGAAGGAAATTGTACTTGACTGATTTTTACGAAATGTTTAAGTTATGTTTAAGTGACATTCTATATGCAAAGAATCACTTAAATACAATTTAAATATGTTTATCATTTCGTGAAAGTCAACCTTCAAGAAATATTTATTTTATCCATAAAATAAAGTCTCTTTGAAACTAAATATTCTATGTTCAATATTAAGTAGGATATTTAATTTGGAACTAAATATCCTACTTATCTCTCTAATATTATAAAGGCGAAATTTTGTGTGTTCTTTCTGTCTCCTTGAGCTTATTCCACACTAAGTATGTACTGTGTATGTGTAATTTTTTCACGAAGAAACGGCTGGACTATTATTTATGTGTGGGTTATACTACTTAATATCTCTGAGGGAGAACAAATAATAGACAAATTATTATAATTAATATAATTTTATTTACAAATCAATCAAAATATAAATATTTTATTCCAAATTAGGCATCCGAATGCACTTTTTGAATGCCAATCTAAGAACATTAAATTGTATTGAGGTGATTCTTTGCATATAGAATGTCACTTAAATATAACTTAAACATTTCGTAAAAATCAGTCTAAGTACAATTTCCTGCATTTTAATAGTAAAAGTTGGATTACTAGGAAAAATAATTGTATTCTAATTAGGGCCCTGTCTTTTTGTTATTTTTATGATATTTACTTGACGAGAATACAGCCTGTTCTCAAAATGATTATTAACTATAAAAATAATATTTTGCGATTAAAATTTCTTTATGTCTGAATGTAAAACAAATTTCAGCACCTTCGTATGATTATTTTACCAATACTGAGCTCTACGGACCTTTATATTTTTAGTTCACATGGCACAAAGTGTCGCCATCTAGTGTCGAATATATTTAATTATATTTGAAAGCCGACGCAAAGAGATTTTTCTAGAACTATTTTAATAAATTAGGTGTAAAATTATTTACAAATGAAATGTGATGCCATACATAACATCAGAGCGTCTATTTGAGTAGTTTTTACACAATAAAACACAACACTTCATCTTTTTCTTCTTAATACTACGAAAATACACCGATTTGCGATTTTATCAACACATAAGCGTACAGGACGAATGCTGACAGTATACTAACTAAAGCCACGCCCACTATGATGACGTCAGGACCTACTTAGAATCACAGTGCACAGTTGCTTATGCCGTCTCCCCTTTGTATTAGCTTCATGGGCGCATCCCTTTTATTTTGCTTAAAGAACAGTTGAGCTTGAGTCATTCTTGCTTAGAAAGTTAATCCGAATTGTTGTTCAGATTGTTTCGATTAGTAAAAAAGGATTTGATTATATTGTGTTAAAAGTTTGGATGTGCCTTTTTTATTGTTTTTGTTTTATTTGTAGGTTCGTTCATTCAGTACAGCTTATCAAAGCTCACTGCTGAGCATAAACCCCACAGATTGCCTCATAAGGGGGATATTTACCTGTTTAATTAGGAAGACTCTCCTGCCCGTCATTTGGTTTGTTTTCTTTATTTCAGACTAATGACTGTTATGCACTGTTTTTATAAACAAGAACATAAGAGATATAAATAAATTGCGAAAGATGCTATATTCTGTAATAAATCAAATATATTTTATCCTATATAACCTCCGGCGCCCAATCCATCACTATATCTTTTCTCATCTATTCTTTTCTATTCTCACTATTTTTCCTGATGAATTTAAAGTCACCATCGTGAAACCTGTATTCAAAAAAAGTGACAAAGAATCTATGGAATGTAGACCTATAGCCTTAATACCAATATTCTCTAAAATATTTGAAAAATATCTTTATAATAAACTTAATGATTATTTGGAAAAAAAACGACATCTTGTGTAGAGAACAAAAAGGATTTCGCAAAAATAAAACAATAAATATGGCACTGTATGATTTTTATAAAAATGTAATAACACACGTTGACAACAGAATACCGGTGTGTTCACTATACTGTGACATGAATCAGACTTTTGACTATGTTGACCATAACAATTTATTCACAAACTTGAGGCATATGGCATTAGAGGCAATGTATTGAGTTTGTTCCAGTCTTACCTAAATAACCGTCGTCAAAAAACGGAAATATGTAGGTTAAATCTAAAGACCAAATCTGAGAACATAAGCTCTTCGACAGAGCGTTTGGTAAAATACGGTGTACCACAGGGCAGTCTCTTAGGGCCTCTCTTATTTATAATATATGTAAATGACCTACCAAATGCCACTAAGCAACCTATGACCTTATTTGCTGACGATAGTACTGTAACTATAAACTGTGATGACATCTTTTCTTATAAAAATGACATAAATGAATCATTAATATCAATAATAACATGGCTAAATAATAATAATTTGAAAATTAACCTAAATAAGACACACATTATGCATTTTAGCCAAAGACTAATAACCCCATCTAACATTGAAGTAAATTACAATGACACTGTTATTGCTGAAGTAGATACAACCCGATTTCTCGGCTTACAAATTGACCAAAAACTAAATTGGAAAGCCCATATACTAGAACTTAATAAAAAAATAAGTAGTTCGGCTTATGCACTGTTTAGACTTTCTTCTACAGTTAACATTGACGCACTTCTAATAGCTTATTATGGACTAGTCGAATCTGTCCTTAGATACGGAATCATTTTCTGGGGTAACTCAACTGGCAGAGAAGTTGCGTTTAAAACTCAGAAAAGATGTATCCGCGCTATGTTTGGTCTTCAGACTGCCGATAGTTGTATTCTATATTTTATTAAACATAGAATTCTTACACTTCCGTCCTTATACATATTGAACATAACCTATTTCCACGGTTGTCTGACAAAGTAAAGCGCAACCGTCGTGATGGAAGTAAATTGTGCTTGCAACAAGCAAGAACGGCTCTCCTAAGAGTGTAGTATGCATGGCTCCTAAAATCTATAATAAAATTCCTCAGATGTATAAATCACTGAACAGCAATCTTTTTAAAATTAAATTCAAAAACCTTTTCATTGAAAAATGCTACTACACTGTAACTGACCTTCTTAATGATAAATTTTGACATTATATAATTGCCTTATACATACATATACTTTTAATTATAATTGTTGTAAATAATTATTTCACTGACTTTGTATATTAATAGACTGCTAATGTGAAATGAAAACTAACAACCAAACACTTTAAATTTTACACACCGAATATCGGTAAGACATGTTGATACTAATAACACTAACACCAAGAATATATATCTGCCCATGCAATGTATATCTCACACATGTTTTAGTAAATAAAATATCTTACCTTATCATCGATGTCATAAAAATTGACTTTTGGAAATAATAATAATGTTCCCTAGACCGAATTTCGGTCACGGCGGCCAGTCTTAACGGAGACTAGCCATCGGCGCAGGACAGGATAATAGTGCCCAAGTGTTTGCACAAGCACAGGTGCACTCTCTATTCGCTCACTCTCAAAGTGGGACGGTAAACCGATACGACCGGAGAGAGATCAGGTGCAGGAGCAACGGCTTTACGTGCTTTCCGAGGCACGGGGGTGAGACACCGCTAACTTTCTGACTCCGGGCAGCTACTGAGAATTTCTTGATGGAAAAACTCAATAACTAATTTTTTTGGCCCGACCTGGGATTCGAACCCGGGACCTCATGATCAGCAGTCGCACTACTACAACCACTAGACCAACAAGGCAGTCATTCATTTTGGAAATACAGAAGGTATGAAATGAAACTTTCAATAGGAAGCGTTATAAATATCTCATATAAACGATGTGATGTAAATATTTAGACATGCTGGAACGGCGGCGGTCTCGTACATCTAATACTTTGATCGGCAATACGCCTGCCATTCGTGGCAACTTGAAAACCTTGTTACTTACATAAGCCTATCTCACAGTGGACAGTTAGATAATTAGTTTTTACTACTTAAATGCTAATTTCGAGCTTTTTTTAATTTAACTAGAAAAATATTTTTACTTCGGTCGCACAGACTTTAAGCACAGGCCGCATATTTTATTTCCAGCGACGCTGAGGCAAATCAAGCGGCGACAACAGAAACTCGAACCACACCAGTCGGGAGTAATCCCTTCCTTGACGTGCCAGACCAAAGCCGAGCCGTCGAGTATAAAAAAGGCTACGTCATGCGAAAGTGCTGCGTCGATGCTAATGGCAAAAAGAGTGAGTTTCACTGTCTTATATTTTTACATTACTATTTACTACTATTTATGAAATAGAATAAGCTTTGCGAAATACACACTGGCACAGTGCGTAACCGTACACTTTTTTAACAAATTTATTTCTCTGATAGAGGATTATTATAGGGGATATTTCACCTTATTCCAAAGTGGCGCCGGCCTGGTGGCAGTAATAGTCGTGGATGTCTTCATTGGCTTATAATTGCAGGCTGACTATTATTATATAAACTTAGTACATAACATAACTATATTTCATTATTTCCGAAACTGCTTGGCTTGGAATAGGTATAAACTTTTATTAACATTTTAAACACAAAAGACAGCTACGATAACGAAACATTTTATTAAATACTATCTTTGCCCTTCCCTCCAATAGCACCATTCGGCCGACGTGGCTGGAAAATGTTCTACTGCACACTCCGGGATTTGGTACTTTACCTACACAAAGATGAACATGGTTTCAGACGGAGTCAAATGTCGGATAACTTACACAACGCTATTAGGTAACAATCAGTAAATACCTTATATGCATATTTGTTTTTGGTTTCGTTTTTATTACTTAATATATAATTGTTTACAGAATACATCACGCGCTTGCGATGAAAGCTACGGATTATACGAAAAAGCAACATGTATTTAGATTACAAACAGCGGATCAAGCTGAATATTTGTTCCAGACCAGGTAAGATGGCAAACTGTTTAAATTTTTAAAATTACCTTACACCTCATGTAGGACTTGAAATTGACTATGAAGTAGGTTATGGTTTTACCTATATTTATATTCTTATTTTGTTTTTCTGTATTATTAAATTAATAAAATAAATATTTTAATCAAGGAACTAAAACTAAGGCATTAACGCCAAAATAACTGACATAGCATATTCGATCCATAATCTGAAGTTGCAACGACTGATAAAGCTCGAATAATCGACTATCGTAGAAAAGGTTGTAGTGTGCTCTTCGCTAGGCTACTTGGCTTAACTTCGTATAATTCTGGGCTGGCATCGTCGATGAAATATGACGGTATGATAACTAATAAAAACTTAAGATATTCCATCTTCAGGTAGACCTGAGTGTGATAGAGCGTCTGTAGTATTGTTTGCTTGGGCTGCAGCCTAACAGACTGGTCAGTTTATTTTACTTCGTGTATTGTAAGAAATTAGAATGTAGAGCTACAAGAAAAAGCTCTAATCCCACTTCTGATGTAAGAAATTGTTCCACTTCTGATGTTAGAAATTATTCTCAAAATTATTTAAATAAAAGAACTATCAGAAACAATTTTGAAGAACAGCCACTGTAACATGTTCCCGTCACACACTGCTGTAACGTGAAAGGCCCAATTACACGTACACACGCACGTACACACGTACGTACACACGCACGTACACATGCACATACACATGCACATACACACGCACATATACACGCATGTGCACACTCATGTACACGCATGTACACACGCACATACACACGCACGTCACGAGGGTACACACATACATACACACGCACGTACATGCACGTACACATGCAAGTTACATATTATGCCTAGAACCTTATATGGCATCAGGAAGTCACCTACAATAAAGCACCGCCTGTTAAGGCAAATAACAGCACGAGGTGACTCAATTCACTAACGTGATTTAAGAATGTTCAACATAGTGCTGTAAGGACCTATCTTACAGTTTCGCAGGCTAAGCAAATAACAGCACGTCTTTTACGTGACTTAAGAATATTCAATATAGTATAAAACCGAGGGACTAATTGTTAAGACAGCCCAGTAGTATTTAAGTTAGTTTGTAAGTTAGTATTCTAGTATTCCTGTGTGTCACATTGTCACAGTAGTCAACGTGTTAGTTTAGTCTAGTATTCCTGTGTACTCATATTGTCACAGTAGTGAAATTATTAGTTTAGTCTAGTATTCCTGTGTACTCATATTGTCACAGTAGTTATCTTGTTAGTTTAGTCTAGTATTTTTGTGTACTCACGTTGTCACAGTAGTTAACTTGTTAGTTTAGTATTTCTGTGTACTCACGTTGTCACAGTAGTTAACTTGTTAGTTTAGTCTAGTATTTCTGTGTACTCACGTTGTCACAGTAGTTGTTAGTTTAGTCTAGTATTTCTGTGTACTCACGTTGTCACAGTAGTCAACTTATCAGTTTAGTCTAGTATTTTTTTTTATAGGATAAGGGTGACAAACGAGCACACAGTCCACCTGATGGTAAGTGGTTGCTGCAGCCCATAGACATCTCCATCTATCTTCGATTACGAATCAAAATGCAGATGCGTTGTCACCCGTGAGGACTAAGATGGAATGCCTCATTTCCAGTAAAAAGGGTCTCCGGTTCTCTACACTCACCATACGAAACACAGCAGCGTTAAGCTGCTATTTTACGCTGGTATTTTGTGAGAGCGTGGTCCTTCCCCGGTCGAGCCGACCCATTCGTGCTACAATCATAATATAGCTGCAGCATGGCTCTACCACGTATTTCTGTGTACTCACATCGTCACAGTAAGTTTACTTGTAAGTTAGAAAATAAAAGTAATATAGGAAAAAGTCTTTGTCTCTTTCCACTTCAACCCTCCCTAAGCTGCCGCAAACGTAAGTCGCACGTACACATGCACGTATATACTTACGTACGCAGGCACGTACATACGAGTGAGAGTGGTGTGAGTAATGGCAAATTTGCGTGCAGCGACTCGAAGGAGCTGTGCTCGTGGGTGGAGACGATCAACTTCGTGTGCGCGGCGTACTCCGCGCCGCCGCTGGCGGGCGCCGTGGGCTCGCAGCGCAAGTTCCAGCGCCCGCTGCTGCCCTGCACGCACACCAAGCTCGCCATGGTACGTACATAGTACAGGGTGTGGGTGTGGGTGCAGACGATCAACTTCGTGTGCGCGGCGTACTCCGCGCCGCCGCTGGCGGGCGCCGTGGGCTCGCAGCGCAAGTTCCAGCGCCCGCTGCTGCCCTGCACGCACACCAAGCTCGCCATGGTACGTACATAGTACAGGGTGTGGGTGTGGGTGCAGACGATCAACTTCGTGTGCGCGGCGTACTCCGCGCCGCCGCTGGCGGGCGCCGTGGGCTCGCAGCGCAAGTTCCAGCGCCCGCTGCTGCCCTGCACGCACACCAAGCTCGCCATGGTACGTACATAGTACAGGGTGTGGGTGTGGGTGCAGACGATCAACTTCGTGTGCGCGGCGTACTCCGCGCCGCCGCTGGCGGGCGCCGTGGGCTCGCAGCGCAAGTTCCAGCGCCCGCTGCTGCCCTGCACGCACACCAAGCTCGCCATGGTACGTACATAGTACAGGGTGTGGGTGTGGGTGCAGACGATCAACTTCGTGTGCGCGGCGTACTCCGCGCCGCCGCTGGCGGGCGCCGTGGGCTCGCAGCGCAAGTTCCAGCGCCCGCTGCTGCCCTGCACGCACACCAAGCTCGCCATGGTACGTACATAGTACAGGGTGTGGGTGTGGGTGCAGACGATCAACTTCGTGTGCGCGGCGTACTCCGCGCCGCCGCTGGCGGGCGCCGTGGGCTCGCAGCGCAAGTTCCAGCGCCCGCTGCTGCCCTGCACGCACACCAAGCTCGCCATGGTACGTACATAGTACAGGGTGTGGGTGTGGGTGCAGACGATCAACTTCGTGTGCGCGGCGTACTCCGCGCCGCCGCTGGCGGGCGCCGTGGGCTCGCAGCGCAAGTTCCAGCGCCCGCTGCTGCCCTGCACGCACACCAAGCTCGCCATGGTACGTACATAGTACAGGGTGTGGGTGTGGGTGCAGACGATCAACTTCGTGTGCGCGGCGTACTCCGCGCCGCCGCTGGCGGGCGCCGTGGGCTCGCAGCGCAAGTTCCAGCGCCCGCTGCTGCCCTGCACGCACACCAAGCTCGCCATGGTACGTACATAGTACAGGGTGTGGGTGTGGGTGCAGACGATCAACTTCGTGTGCGCGGCGTACTCCGCGCCGCCGCTGGCGGGCGCCGTGGGCTCGCAGCGCAAGTTCCAGCGCCCGCTGCTGCCCTGCACGCACACCAAGCTCGCCATGGTACGTACATAGTACAGGGTGTGGGTGTGGGTGCAGACGATCAACTTCGTGTGCGCGGCGTACTCCGCGCCGCCGCTGGCGGGCGCCGTGGGCTCGCAGCGCAAGTTCCAGCGCCCGCTGCTGCCCTGCACGCACACCAAGCTCGCCATGGTACGTACATAGTACAGGGTGTGGGTGTGGGTGCAGACGATCAACTTCGTGTGCGCGGCGTACTCCGCGCCGCCGCTGGCGGGCGCCGTGGGCTCGCAGCGCAAGTTCCAGCGCCCGCTGCTGCCCTGCACGCACACCAAGCTCGCCATGGTACGTACATAGTACAGGGTGTGGGTGTGGGTGCAGACGATCAACTTCGTGTGCGCGGCGTACTCCGCGCCGCCGCTGGCGGGCGCCGTGGGCTCGCAGCGCAAGTTCCAGCGCCCGCTGCTGCCCTGCACGCACACCAAGCTCGCCATGGTACGTACATAGTACAGGGTGTGGGTGTGGGTGCAGACGATCAACTTCGTGTGCGCGGCGTACTCCGCGCCGCCGCTGGCGGGCGCCGTGGGCTCGCAGCGCAAGTTCCAGCGCCCGCTGCTGCCCTGCACGCACACCAAGCTCGCCATGGTACGTACATAGTACAGGGTGTGGGTGTGGGTGCAGACGATCAACTTCGTGTGCGCGGCGTACTCCGCGCCGCCGCTGGCGGGCGCCGTGGGCTCGCAGCGCAAGTTCCAGCGCCCGCTGCTGCCCTGCACGCACACCAAGCTCGCCATGGTACGTACATAGTACAGGGTGTGGGTGTGGGTGCAGACGATCAACTTCGTGTGCGCGGCGTACTCCGCGCCGCCGCTGGCGGGCGCCGTGGGCTCGCAGCGCAAGTTCCAGCGCCCGCTGCTGCCCTGCACGCACACCAAGCTCGCCATGGTACGTACATAGTACAGGGTGTGGGTGTGGGTGCAGACGATCAACTTCGTGTGCGCGGCGTACTCCGCGCCGCCGCTGGCGGGCGCCGTGGGCTCGCAGCGCAAGTTCCAGCGCCCGCTGCTGCCCTGCACGCACACCAAGCTCGCCATGGTACGTACATACCCGCATCTACTATATAACATTGCACCACCCCAGAAACGTTGCTTACTAGTAAATACCACTTGAGTGCTCTAGAATCTAGTCTCTCTAATCTACGTTCAATCGAAAGAAGAAGAGACTCCGTCGCGTTTTGGCATCTCTCGTTTTCCTTAATATTATTGTAATTTATAGTCTAATAAACTGTATTCCATTCCTCAAACTCTTTTTTAAGAATCATTTCTAAAACCCCGTCTGAACAGTAGGTACTCTGTTCCGGGGAATTGCTCAAGTTCAATTCAATCAGCCGCCAAATTACACCATCGCACGTTGCACAAAAATTTTCTGTGGGGTTAGTCAAGTTGACACTATAATAGTTAACGCTAATAAAAGCTATAAAATTAATGGGAATGACATATCTCAAATTTAAGTGAGAACCAACACTTTTTGTGCCTAAGCACAAATTGTGGTTTTAGTCGTTGGTTGTGTTGTAATTTTTCTCACGTCGCTGACATTGTAATCTCCATCATACTAGTATAATAACATATGTGTATGAGGACAAGCAACTACCACTGTGTTTATGCGTACTTTTGTAGTTTAGTTGTCGTGATTATTGAAATCGGCACTCATGTTCAACAGAGAAAGGTTGCCGACTTAATATTAATGTAATTGTTATAATATGTTGCAGCGCGAACAATTGGCGGATCACGAGGAGCGGGCTGCCCGTCTGGAAGAAGAACTAGCGTCCTTGAAAAGCGCACGCGACGCCACGCACACACACGCGCCCCATGCACACACGCGCGATAAGGAACACTATCTCATACATGAGGTAACACTTCGCAATATTATGTGCCTTTATGAGTCATGTTCTCCTCGCAGATGTCGATGGCGGTGTCAACTTTCGAATGCAACTATAAACTGTACTTAATTCTATAAATGTATCTATATAAAATTTAAGGCTCAATTTACATTGCGGCGGAATGGAATGGAACGGAAGCGTCAATTTCCAAAAATTGACGCTTCCAAATTGTGTATTCCCGTGACTGAGCCTTCACGCTTTATGAACCATTCAGTTATTTAGTCTCGATCTTTTATTTGGCAAGAATGGTTTATTGAATGTAAATGAGCCTTAGGAAGTCTTTAAAACGTAAGTGGCTACTGCAGCCCAGAGAATCCTTTTGCTTTTGTTCTTAGGGTTCTTGCTAATTAATGAATAAGGATAACAGCAGCGCGATAATAACTCTTATGGGAATTGTGGTTGACTTTTCGTTTAGACGTTTGTTTGCGTTGAATCGTGTTAATAACACTATCACAATGAAAAAATATAGCACATCTGCGTAGTGATTCCCATTGGTCAACGATTTCCATCAGAATTACACAACCCACTGCAGATCCCCATATCCCGTTTCTATATTAAAACAAGTTTCAATATTTCTAATTATGCGTTCTGCAGTGCATGAAGAAATCTTATAAAACAGAATATGGTTCATCATCCAACTAACATATTATATTTTTGTTTGTAACTGAAAAACAAGAAATTACTTACTGTGTTCATTAACTGTTTGTCTAGATAAAGAGGTATCGTACGTATGCGTACGTGATGCGAGCGCGGGCGGGAGGCACGGGTGCGGACGAGGCGGCGCCTGCGCTACCCGAGCGGCCGCAGCTTCCGCAGCATCCACAGCACCCACAGCATCCGCAGCACCCACAGCATCCGCAGCATCCACAACATCCACCACCCTGACGCGCCATGGCGGTGTTCGCCGCCTGCGTTCTATGACTCCGCGCCCTGCTCCCGCCCGCTTGCGTCTCTAGCTAGTTTATCATAAGGGCACCACTAAAACTGAAAATGGACCTTTTAATTGTCACAACCCTAGGCGTCGACCGAGTAGTCGACGCGCATTGTGCGACCATTGGTTCCGCTCGTCCAACCTCGTACCACGAAACACTACCTACTGCCACGCCACCACTGTAACGCGATATATTTCTATTGAAAGCGATACACATCTTTATTTTTTCGAAGCAAACGATCGATTGGTGCAGTTCCCGTTTCATTCCTGTCCCCGGAAACAGAGTATTTGTATCTAAGCGTTGGCACGTACTCCAACAGTTGAACTATGCAATGTAGAGATAAGAACGACCATCTTATAATGTCTACAACTAAAATTCGAACGAAGATTAACCTTCTCTTCATCTCTAACAACTTTGACTTTTGCTTCCATGATTCATCTTGTATCTTCTAGAGATGGGTAACGTAAAAAATCCCCGCATTGACTCAGTAACTCTTGCGCAATAAATTATATTAGTCAAATGAGCTAACTAGAGCTATAAGACACTGAAATATATAGCAGATAGCACTGAGCGGCAGTTTGTGTGGAAAGTAAAGTCGAAAGACGACCAATTTTGTTTAAAATAAATAGCCTTTAGATGTGAAGTGTCCTTCTCTTCCAAAGTTCAACTGTAATTTATACAACAATAAAATAAAAATCTTGTGTGATTATTATTAATTAGTCCACATTTTATTCATAACGGACGTTCAGTGTTACTATTTTTGTTACTGTGATAAAAACAGTGACAAATGTATCCATCTAATGGTAAGTGGCTACTCATGGTCATTGATACTTTAATCAACTACAAAGAAAAAAAGGTGAAGGGGTCTGTTGTCACCTCCGAAAACTAAATTTATTTATTTATTTATTTATTTATTTATTTATTTATTTATTTATTTCATAATTATAACATCATTACAGTTATATTAACCAATGCGATGCTATAACTAACCTAAATATAAGAAAACTAATTACTAATTAATAATGACTATAAAATAATGAATAATAATATTAACATGATTATAAAATAAAATACTAATTAAAAAAATTACAATTTTCAACGCATTTGTATGCTGCAATTGTGAACTTCGTCTGACTACATGTAAATATGTCAATATCCTGTGAGATGATATTAACGTAGTGTATGGCACGTGTCAATGGTGCATTCTGAAGCAACTTCGTCCTAGCAGTGGGCACGAAGAGTAACGGGGCGCGGCGACGAGAACACATGTAATTATCAGGTACACGTAGCTTTAGCGCAGCGAGCACTTCTGGGTGATGTATCCATCCACGTAATACGTTCCACACATATTTAATAAGCGCGATGTCTCTCCTCACACTCAGGCGGCTGTAACCGACCATACCCAGTACAAATAGACTCGGATACATGAGTGGAAAACTAGGATAGACTCCGTACTGTTTGAAATATAAAAATCGTGTAAATTTATTTTGAAGTTTTTCGATCATGACACTATATTTGCTTTCATGTGGATTCCAAATAATGGCGTTCGTTTCAAGTTGACTTCTTACGAGAGCATTATATAAAATTCTAATAGTAACTACATTACGGAAATCCCTGCACTGCCTTAAGATAAAGCCGAGATTCCTAAAAGCTTTTTTACAAATATTTAAAATGTGATTACGAAAATTAAGTTCCGGGACCATTTCGACGCCTAAGTCTCTAATGTGTGTAACTCGAGGGATTACGAGGCCGTTCATTTGGTAAGCATAATTATGAGGGGCTTTTGCACGACCATAACTCATGACACAACATTTATTCACATTTAAGCTCAATTTGTTTTCTATACCCCACCGTGCCACTCTGTCAATGTCTCTTTGCAAACTTTGACAGTCAGAAGTATTGCTTACTTTCAAATAAATTTTAAGATCGTCGGCAAATAGCAAACACTGTGCCTCCTCAATGACCGTAGGAAGATCATTAACCATTAACATAAATGATAAAGGACCGAGATTGCTCCCTTGACTCACTCCAGAATAAATACAGTACGGTTGCGACTCAAAACCTCCAAAATCCACGTATTGTCTGCGTCCACTAAGATAATTTGCAAAAAAATTTAGTAAGCTAGGTGTAAAACCTAACTCAGCAAACTTTACCAACAAAATATCGTTATTAACGGTATCAAAGGCTTTTTGAAAATCAAAATATGCGGTGTCAACCTGGCTCCCAGCATCTACTACTGGCACTACATAATTCATAAAAGACATTAAATTACTCCCCGTACTTCGACCTGACCGAAAACCATGCTGAGCTTCGGTAAGCTGCGGGTACACTTGATTATAAACATATTTATAAATAATCGACTCGAATACCTTAGCGGCTGCAGACAATACGGCTACCGGTCGATATTCATCCACCTTGGAACCCGACCCTCCCTTTAACACAGGAATCACTCGAGTCACTTTCCATATGTCCGGGTAGTAACCTTCTTTTAGACACAGGTTAAAAATATGTAAAAGAGGCAATTCAAACACTGCACAGCAATCTTTTAAAATGAACGGTGGTATCCCATCTGGACCCACGGACTTTTTGGGCTTAAGACGTGTGAGCGCTTCTCGAACATCTTGCACATTTATCCGCCCGATATGAACGCGTGTTGAGCTCAACGCCTGCGCCGCTACTCGCTCCGCTTCTCTCGGATCTAAAAAAGCTTAGTGCAATCAACGCATAGTCGTGTACTTCTGGTTGTGCTACTGTTTGCGCAATGCTATGTTATCCATCTCTAACCTCCCTACTCGACAGCTTTATCCAAACAATGTATGAAATCGCCACAAACCTCGAACTTAATTAAAAAACCGACGTTTTATAATCGAAATTAATTATTACAATTAAAACTTAAAAATAAAAAAGTAACAATTGGTTGATACAAGTTTGTAAAGATTGAAAATACGATGGAATTTTATGCTACGTTTTACTTAATATATAAAGAAAATATACTCTTTGGAACATCACAATTTTTTGTAGTTTCCATTGAACTATCACAATGATTAGAATTTTTGTGACATAACGATATTATTATTTGTACCCTTTAGGAACATACATTTAAGAAATGAAAAATTAATGCAAAGATATTTTAAACAAAATTATTAGATTCTTAGCCTAACCTGGATAAAATTTATATTGAATTTTTAAGACTAACTTAACGATTTGCCCACCGTATGCTCATTATTGACATATGTTTATGATAAAGTAAGCGTCATCTATGTTTAAAAAGTATTTCAGAAGTAAATTTAACAAGTATGTGCTTAGTAAGTGAGAGTTAATGAACTAATTGCTAATTTTCTATCGATGTATCTAAGGTAAGGCAGTTTCTTGATTAAAGGTGATGTATTCGATATGAACAATTTATCATTATCAATTTTAACTGTAGCTGACGTTGAAAAACTTACGATAAACTTAAAAGGTCTAATATGTAATTATAAGATAGCCTATAAATAATGTACGTATGCAAAGATGGCGGACAGTCAAATTGTGCGGATGGATAGAGTAAGCTGCCTCAGAAATATACTTATTTTCTCCGCATCTAGGACTCCGCCGAAAAGACTGAATAAGATACTCAAACGACATTCCATTGCCAATGTTAACAAAATTAAACTTCCGGGCAGCGCTACAAACGCAGCGGGTGTGCTTTAATAGTTTGTAAAGAACATGGCACTTAAAATTAACAAAACTATAAATTAATATCTTGATCGTCTAGTCCTGTCTTCCTGTTAACACAAAATGATTTTTAATATTTGAGGTCTTTGTCACCATTATACAATATAGAGCTGATTGATAAAGAAGTGTAAAATGAGTTCAAAATGTAAATATAAAGTACCTACAAAGGTAACAAATAATAAAAGGCTTTGTATTTATATTAAAATGGCATTGAACTATATGCCCTTGAAATATACTTTATTTAATTTAATTTAACTACAATTTAAAAAATGAATCTGTTTGATGGACTAAAATGGAGCCATTGCTTGTTTTGTATAAATCTCATTTGGTGTATGATAGTAAGAATATGTTATGTTGTATTGTTTTGGTGCCACTAGTCGCGATGATGGTTATTCGCTTTAAACTTCATTCTTAATTTCTAGTATTGGCTTTATTTGAATTATTTATATCATTCCATATTAAGATACTGCAAAGTTGGAAGGCAGATATGACTTTAAATTTGTGTACTTCATAGCTTCACATATTATTATGAAATACCGAATATTATTCGAAAACGGCTGGTTTTGTAACAGTGTTTATAGTTTTATAGCGTTGAGACTGATAAGTGAAGTTATTTATTTTGTTTGTAAATCAACCAGTGTCAAATCTTAGGCGTCAATATTGGACTATCGCATCTCGGTTCTCGGATGCAACTGTATATTTATTGTAAAGTCTGCGGGCAATACGCACTGGGAACATGAAAAGAGCGGACATTTTTATCTCAATAACTATGTAACTATAGTCTTTAGCTTAGCCGATAGTGCCAGTAAAGTGATATTAGACTCTGATTGTATTAATTGTAATTTATTTTTGTCATTTTTTGTGGAAATGCAAAGCGAATTATCATTCTATGTTTGTTATAATCCTTATCTGTTCTCGTAGCACGATCTTTACCATTCGTTTCGTTTGGGTAGCATCACGAAGTATCTCCCCTTTTTCTAGGGCAATAATATTACATATTATAATACGTTATAAGTTGTTAAGGTGATATAACCTAATTAAGTAATCAATCAAGTTGACTTAATAGCAATTTACCATCTTATTATTTATTGTAAAACTGCGGTTTATAATGTACTATACAGCCTGCCGCATTTAGTATAATCAACGACATTATGGAACTTGCGTATATCAAAAATTCTAAAATACAAAAACTCGCTAGACAGCGGTCTTATATTGTAAAAATATAAAACTAGCTAAACT